AGACAAGACCAGGGAGCTGTTCGAGAAGGCGACGTCGAAGCTCCCGCCTGGGTTCGAGAAGGCGACGTCGAAGCTCCCGCCTGGGTTCGAGAACTACCCGGACACTGATCCAATGCGGGAGAAGGCACTAACGGACTCTGTTCGGGCAGGCGTCGTCGATGATCTTCCCCTTGAAGAGCAGCGGAAGCTGTACGAGCCGAAGCAACGTCGGGTTTAAGCATCGGTCCCGTCGTGTTAGGATCAAAGAAGCAAGGACAAGCATGTAGCATCAATGTACCAATATAATCCCATCCTCATGTCACTGTCGTATACCGACATAATCACCGTGTTTGTTGGCGCATGTCGAACTTCACTTGTTGGTCCTGAAGCTAGCCCCTCTGTTGTACGATGACTCGTCGGGTCGTTTCACTCCATGCGTCATAGCAATTCGGACTATGCTATATAGCTAATCAAGTTTCAGACTCTGTACGGCGTGTCTCGGGCCTCAGGGCACCTCGATAACTGTACACGCGGCGGCATGGACGAACCTGGGCGGGTTATCACCGACGCACCAGTCGGCGGTCGTGCAGATTGGCCAGGGGGTGGCTGGAGGGGTTGGTACTGTTTTCGAGGGACCACGTTTGCAGCGAGGCCCATCCGTCACGTCGCCGAGGTTCAAACAGCTGAAGTCCAGAGCCCTCGCTTTGTTGACAGTTCAAACTTTGCACAAGAACGACTCTATCCGCCAGCGATAATGAGCGTCTCGGAAATGATGCCACTACTGGTGCCAACCAACAGGTCAGGCACAAAGGCGTATCCCAGTCGACACCCGTCTCGTCAGGTACAGTACTCGCCAGAAGCACGGTGAAGTGGGTCCGCTTGGCTTCAGCCTCGGTACGCTGACCATGAGTGGTACAAGCTTACACCGACATCAACCGCTGTCAAGCTGAGTCTTACTTCGCCGTGCCGCGTCGTCCTCGACACGACATCGACTGCGCTATCATCTGCCTGACTTTGTATGGCTAAATACGCGTTTTCGCGCGCTAGGTGACGAATTGTCTTTCAAGCCACCGTAGCTGGTCTCGCCTTTCCAGGATCTCGTGGGCCCTGGAGAGCTTGCGGAGAGCGCGGAAACAAGCACACACGTGACGTGTACATTATACGGCGAGAAGTGTATACACAAATATAGATGGTGGAAGCTCTACTACAAATAGCATACCCAAAGCAAAAGGCGAAAAAGCGAGCACAAACGAATAGCGACGCGAACGGCCTACGTTATCGATGGTGGCTGGTCCGCGGGCGGCTGTAATATCGCAGTATCTTGTCCGACGGCCGTGCCTGATGGCTGCATATGGGTGTCAGGGCCAGCGATGCACTCGTAGCATTGCCACACACCGTATCGTCAGAGTATTGCTTGAAATTTGGCCTATTCGTGCCTAATCCGCTGGGGCTCGCGCCCAGATGCAGGGCGATTGAGTTAAACTCGACTTCAGTCAGCTTGTCCCTCAGATACTGTCTCGCATTAAGGCTGGAATAGATATGGTCAGACGTTCTTTGCGGAGCCAAAGAGCAGCGCGTACAATCCCACGACTGAGTTCGCATATACTGTCAGGACGTCAGTAGAATCCCTGAAGAACATAGTTGGTGCTTACATTTGCCCTGAAGTTGGATCAGTCCCCAAAATGCCAGACTCCCGGTCACAAAATTGAACTGCGCGTCCTCGTCAGTAGCGTCCTGTTCGCAAAGAATGAGACGTTCTTACAAGGAAGAGCGTACAAACAGAACCAACCCTACCCGGGAACGCATGTGAGACATAGGAACATCGGCAGGTATTCTGCATCACTCACACACTGAGTACTCCGGTGTTGATTGTGAAGAACATCAGCGTCTGGATCACGCTTCGGGACCTGTATGATAGGTATGTGGGGAGCGCAACACGTGGAGAGCTTATGTATGACGTACTGCTTGAAGCCGGACAGATTCATACCCCTTTTGAGATAGAAGATCATCATCGCGGTATTCAGGAAATCAACGATGGCCGAGAGCGCCTGAGCGACGTTCAGCACGTCCTGAATACCACATTCACGCTTTGTCAGCTTTTCTGAGTGTAACAGGAGTATCCGGCGTACATGCACTACTTGTCTCGCCACAAAATCTGGGAAGGTCTTGAACATGGTTCTATGACAGGGGATTGATTAGCGTCAACTCATTTGACCATGCGCTGCAGCACCCACAGCCACACGTTAGTTGCTGTAGTGTTTATAGTTAAATCCTTGCAATTATTTTCCATAAACTCTCAAATGCCCTCACCGAATCCTGCACCTAGGTGGGCGGTCCGGCTTGTGAGGCGACTCACGCACGTTCAAACACCGAGACTTACCCAGACGAGCCAGAAGGACTATACTCTGCGGGCACACCAAGTACGTGAGTGCCAGTAGTACGTCGCAGCGTCAAAAGCACCCACCAGTGTTCCCACGACGGCATAATTATGGCCGCTTACTATGCAACAAATGAGACGCCATACCGGATAGCGCATGACGTACTACTTACACCGCCATAAACGAAAGATATAGAAACTTGACGAGATGTTTAGTCAGGAGAAAGTGGACTGGCTCGAGTACGACCGTACACACCCCTGACAAAAGCCTATGATAACGTCCTACACAAGCAAGCGTCAAAAAGTCACAGTATGAAGACGAAGAGTAACAGGCTCACCTCAGTGAGGACACTCGACTAAAGCGCGGTGCGGAAGTTAGGATCTTTCGCAGAAGCTGGCCATTTCACCTACCGGGTCACTCCTAGAGAGATGATGTCACAGTTATTGAGACATAGGACCGTTAAGGCGGCCGCTGAGGCTCACCAGATTATCTCCGAAAGCTTCTCCGGGGAGCCAATGTCGGTGACAAAGTATTCGTAGAGGAAGTGGAAACAAAATACAGTGTGCAGCGTCTCCAGAATCCTAATGTCATGGTCTTTAGCACACAATGAGACGAAGAGCCACGTTGCATTGCCCTCACCAAAGTGCTACCACAAAGGTGCGGAGAACTCGGCGATCGTTCTTGTACGCGTACCAGTAGAAGTAGACTTGGGCAGTAAACACACCAAACAACCTGGGCGACCGTCAGCAAGGTAACAACAGAGTGGCAGCGCAAAATGAGACACGGACATAAACCCGATCGAGGTGAAAACAAATAGCGGTCCCATTTGAGACTGGACTGAAGGCTGGGACGGCAGAGGCAGGGCGGCAGGCTGTGGTGCAGCCATGGCCGGCGTTGCGTTGCAGAGGGAGAAGTGCCCGCCCCTTCCGAGGTACGAGCTCTCTCTTCGGGTTTTGAACATCGAAGATCTGATCATCTAATCAACTTCTTTCAAGACACCCGGCCTTAGGCGGCCATCACGACTGGCTTTCATTTGATGCAAGTTGAGCCTGAGGGGGTCGTGAGGAATGATTTTTCCTCCTTCGCTCAATTACGCCATTCCCATGAGCATCCCGCAGCTGGCCGCTGCGATCAAGCTTTACGGCTACAGTGAGGTACTAGACCTGTGCGCGGGGAGTCGCATGATCTTCCAACGCGAACAGTCTAATACTGCTTCTAGCAGCAAGAAAGAGCCGAGGTTCCCCTCCGCGGAAGGCGTCGTAAGGGGCCAGATGTGGCCCTGCGTGATAGGATTTGCGCCCGGGCAGCCGCAGAAGCCCACCGTTCGTCAGCTGGACATGAAGTAGTAGATGTTATGGCAACACGCGTGCAAGCTGCACAACCATCAGAAACGTGGCGCACGATTAACATTTGAGAAATTGCCACTTTTACCAGGGTTTATCTTGTCAAATCACACTACACATACGCTTGCGGATAGCTGCGGGTACTTTGCGCCTCACGCACGCAAGCCACATGATGCGAAGGACCGTGCGAAGTGATCAACAGCCCAGGAACACGTACTACTGACTTTTCTAGAGCGTATCTCTCGCCGTACACACGTCGTGCGGCCCTGCCTTGCGCCAGCGAAGTCGCGCACGAGTCCGTGTGTTCCCTACCAAGAAGCCCGCTCTTCGAGAATTCGCCTTGTCTTACATCTCTGCTTGCCCATTTCCATGAGTCGCAGCACAAGTGGCAAATGATGTATGTCTAACAACGAAACTACAGTACTATGCCGTATGTTTGAGAGCGTGCGCAAACTTCGCGTAGAGACATCTGTGAATACTTACCAAGTGAGAAATCAGACACGGAGCCAGCCCAGGAGGCATCCACGATTCAGATCTTATTGAAACAATTCGCTTAGCTACCTCTAGGTGGTCTCACCCCCGGGGTCCTCAGGTACATTGCCGCATACAATAATTCTATCAAAAGGCGTACTTAGCGCCCACTTTCTGCCCACCGAAGTCGCACACTGTGAGCAGGGGCTGTTTGGCTACCGCAACGAATCTATGGTGTAGAATAGCCTACAAGTAACTGAATGCCTCTTCACACCACGCACGTTTCTTACGGCGCACGCTGTTCTTTATTAATCCTACCCAACGTTTCTTCGGCGCCATTGCGACTAGCCGATGAGCGGTTTGCAGGGGCCCACGTAAGCGTTACGGGCGATGCCCGTTACCGTAGATCTGAGCCTCTTGAGCCAGCCCACCACGCGTGCTCCCGAGGCTTTACGCCCGTCCTTATCCTCGCCTTAGACCGCCCACTGCTTTCCGCCTGGCATTCTCTCAGTCTGCAGCTTCCGCATTTTGCACACACAGAGCCCGAATAATTGCTGGCCGGAATGCGCTGTATCGATACTAAGACAGGAGCACAGCCTGGTAGACGTATTGGCTTTTTGAGTACTAGGCGATTAAGCGGCGGGCTGCTAGACGAGTTCGACTGGGTAGCGTGTACGGCATCTGTCCTGTCCTGGGTGGGCTGGCAGTACTTGGCAACTACCAGGCACCAGTCATCGGCAGCAACGAGCTCACAGCTCGAGTGAGCGCAAGCTGTTCCCACGCCAAGTTAAACCACGTGATTAGCATTCCTCACTTTAACGCCCAATAGTAACAGTTGACGCAAGTTGCGATGCATAACTGCGCTGGCCACGGCCATCGTCTAAGAGTGGCCAAGCATGAACATTTTTCGGCCTCAGGTCTCAACACTTGTTGGGTGACATGCCGTAGCCCCAAAGTGTCCTCTCCCGTAGTCCGAGCATGGCACTTCCTCCTTGGGTCAGATACGTACCTCGCTTATGGAGTCTCATCAGAGTGGGCTGGACGGCCTTGCGGACTACTTGTGCGGCAAACCCTCTTGCGTGCATGGACGAAACACACTTCGTCGACCTCACTCCCATTCACTGGTCGCTTGTACAGGCCATGCTCGCCGCTTTTCGCCGTTTATCTGGATTCTGCGAAGCGAAGGGCAGGACGACCGGTAAGAAACTTGGTACTTCGAATCCCAGGGGCAGAACGCTAAACTCCGAGGAAGACTTGCCCCTTCGTCTGAAATCGCACTCAGTCGCACTCATGCAGCATGTTATGTTTCCGACTGTACCACTTGGAACAACAACAATCTCTCAAAGTAAGCTAAATTTCTCTCATTGCACTCTGTTATTCTGCGTTGGAAAGCAAGTACCTGCATCGTACCGAATAGTAGGAGCGGGTGCCGAACTCTATCGCGTTGTTAACCGAGCCTCGAAAGACACTGGGCGGCCACAATGTGCGTATTCTGCGATTCTCCATGCATACGCGTGAATAACAGTATCTTACCTGTAGAAGTTAAGATTCATGAATTAGCTGAGAAAGCGGCGTCGAGTACCTTGTTCAAATCCGAGAATTGCCCCGTAACGACAATTGTGTAACATTTCCCTTCTCGTTTACTCGTCGTGAACAGACATGCGATTCACTGTAGTTTTTGTATTTATCGATCTGGTACGTGTGTCTGCGGTCACAAGCCTAGGACTCTACCCGCGTACAAAGCAGGATGCATGTGCCTGTGCGTCTACATGGCGTATCACAAGCTGACATGCAGTATGACGTGTGTTGACAGCTCGATTACCACCGATACACCGCCTGCTCGCGTTGGACGATCTGCTCAAGTTACTGAATGCAGACAGGCTGGGTTCGCCGGAAGAGCACTGTGTGCAGGGAGCCGGCGATGTACAGCGGGCTGTGCGGGCAATATATATGCTACGCTTCGCACTGGACATTCGGGAAGCACGACTACGACAGAAATTGATCCTGCGCAAATGGGAGGAGTGATGTGCAAGGCGGTGTCCCTGTGAACTTTGTTTTCACGAGGCAGGGATAATTGTATTGGTATAATGTAGTGATCATAGGCGCGTCCTCCGCCTTTCGCTCGTATTCCCTGCACTCTACTCACACCCTCGCACGTATACAGACTTCCGTTTCCCTGCCTCCTCGTCCCGCAAGATGACCCCGGCTACAGGAGCCGACTTACCCCCAGAATTACTATCGTCTATTCTCAAATTTGTCACACCACATTATATTCATTATGATTTAGACAAACGTCGCCGCTCGAAACACGACCTCGTCGCGCCCAGCCTTGTATGCAGACACTGGTCGGAAATGATCAGACCTGCTCTCTTTCGATACCTCATCTTGCGCAGCCCTGAAGATGTTCGTTTCCTGAAGTGCATCGTCGTCAGCCCTCGCTACATCACCTCATCGCTATCCGGAGCCATCTCGTGTATAGACATCTATCACGATGCTGCTGAGTCCAAACCCTGGCTGCACCATATCCATGGACTTTCAGCCAGACTCTGGACGACGAGTTTCAAGTGTACCGTCACGAATCGTGAAAATGATTCCGCGTCAATAGTCGGTCGTTGGGCCCCATTCGATTCGCTACCTAGCATTACTCCATCCTATGTGCCACTTACGATTCTCACTCTCAACAAGCTGGTCTTCACGAGTACGACCGAGCTCGCGCGACTCGTCGACAGCTTCTCAACGCTCGAAGATTGCCGCTGTGACCAGCTCACTTTCCTCGACCCGTCGCTGGTTGTCCAATCCCGCAGGGCCAGACGACGATCTTCATCGTCCCTCGAGCATTGCGCCATATCGCGGTGCAAGGGGGCAACCCTCTCCTCTCAAGCAACACTCGCTTCTGACATCCTCTCGATCATTGCTCGTTTAGGACTGGACGATCGCATGTGGAACGTAGTCCTCCAAGCACTGCTTGCCTTAGTGCCCGATACATTCGAGAGAGTCCTTATGTGTATTTTTGATGAGAGTGGCAGTATCTGCGGTGCGTCTTCTAAGTTTTGACTAACGCGGATAGTGAAAAACTTACCGCTACTGGCCGTCCCTCATCAGACTGGACGACAATCCGGTGCACTCTCCTCGCTCAAGAAAGCGATGTCTGCGATTATGTAGACGCTGTTATTAAGATATGCCGGCCAAAGTCAGGACCCGGTATACTGTCCCCGCTCGCGTACATCGAGAGGATCACTCTGGTCCTCTCAATAGCGGATGTCGATGCCACGGGATCTCCTCCCTTTGAGGCTTTTCAGGGAGTTGTAGACTCCCCTCACCTGCGCTATCTTCGACTCGCAGCAAGGACACGAAGAGGGCAAGACTACGAGACCATGAAGAATATCTTGTGCTCGGTTCTACGTCGTACGCAGTTGACTTGGGCTCTCGAGTCGCATAAATTGCAGTTCGGGGACTACTACCGCTTCAAGCACAATGATATCGTTACAAGTGCGGACATCCTCGCCGCACCGGCGGAGCATACCATCAACGACACCACGATCACCCTCGATACCGCTGAACAAGCCGAGTGGCTATTGCGCAGTTCCCATCAAAACAAGAAGGCGGAGTACCTGCGGGAGCTCGTAACTGCACGCGCCAGTGAAGCGTCCACAAACAAGAGCCCTGGGGTCGCGCCATCCGGAGAGCAATAGCAGTTTAGGATGTGGGGATCAAGTGGCGCATCTAGGAGGTGGCAGTTTGGTGGCGGACCGGCAACGGACATGAATAGAATTGAAGCCGTTTAAGGGGGCGAAAACAGTGGCTAGAGGATAAGGGACATAAGGTGTAAATTAGATATAGTTGAAATGGTAAGATAACTTCGAGAAAGCGACAAGTCGCAGACACAGAAGGCCCAGGTATGGGGCCTCGTCGAGAGTACTTACCAGCGCCTAAAAGAGCGTACGTTCAGAGATGCAGAAGCAAGCGTCGAAGATGAACTACAGCTTTCGCCGCCGTATATTTTGTGTCAGAGTAAGGATATGATATAAACCTGCTTGCGTGTGTGAACTCAATAACAGCGCCTATTAAACGGGAAATCACGTGATTGGCTGTAGGCCCGAATCCGCCCGAAGCCCCGACGCTGTTGATTGGCTCAATTCACACTTCTGGTCTAACGGGAGATACTGCCATTACGCCGTAGTCAATAAATGTGAATATGTGTACACGAGGAATGGCCGTGTTCGTCGACGTGCAGTACTGGCAAGACTGGGGTAGCTCATCGTGCGTCTCTATTTCGCGCTGTGCTACACTGAAAAACTTTGACCGTCCTTGTCCGCGACTCGCTAGCGCCATAAGTAAGTCTTTCACCTTCTGTTTCCTGGTCGCTCATGAGCTGCGGATCAACATCGACATCGATGACGTAGAGGTGGGAAGAGACGGCGCTTCACTATCTGCCATCGCAGTAACATCTTTGCCGAATCGCTTTGGCTTCGCCTTTCTTGATATGCGCGAGCTTCTCTCCTCCCTCTCTCTTGCTCGTTCGTCTCTCGATCAAATGCCGAAGCCCCCATCACTCAAAACCTCAAGATAAAGTCTTGTGTCCTGTTTGGCGGTCTCCGACGCTCAGCTGCCAACTGGCAAGTCCTGCGAAGGTAGATCGGCCACAAGGTGCGCAAATAGCAGTTCTGAGCTACAGTAGGCCACATTGGTCGACGGGTACGTCCACAACGCTTCGTGATAGGTGCGTAGGCTTATTCGTAGATGAGCCGACCTGATATTTGCAGCTGCTTAATTCTGTCATTCTTTTGAGCTTAGAGAGACGGAAACGCGAGTCCGGCAAGTCATAGCTTGTGTAGCAGATGTCTCTATGACTGACCGCACATAACTCGTCGCACCTAAGATTGCGAAGCTAGTTGCCTAAGTGGCTTCGGACAGACCGACCGACTACTCAACTAAGCGCCAAAGAAGGCATCGTCGGACTCGGTCCCGGGTGGGTATAGCTGATGAACTTCCCTTCAGTTCTCAACGCCCACGACGTGTCTGCTTGTCAGTATGCACAGTTACTAATGCCAAGGCGTAGTGAACTTTCTGTCTCCCCGGATCGGAGAACACTATTATTAATACGGCTGCACAAGGATCACATCGCAGAAGCGGGTAGCCGTTCGCGTGTACTGTCGTCACGGCCTCTAGTGAACAGATTACGTGTGTGGGGTCCTTCAAATATGTCACGTACGGCCTGCAGAAGATATATAGGTCGTGAAACGCGAGCCTCGTTTGCCTTCACAGCTTCAACATCTCATCCATCCATCTGTTCCCGACGCGTCGCGGAAACACACTTATCCAATATGTCTCCCGCGCGTGTAGCCGTCATTGGTGCGGGAGTCGTGGGCCCTGTCGCGGCCATGTTGCTCAAGCAGAAGGGGTACGACGTGGTCCTCTATGAACGTCTCGACTCCCCCTCTGAGGCAGGCCTCGGTCTCGCGTGCGCGCTGTCTCTCCATCTCGCATATGACACCAGCGTTGATACCTCTTAGAATCCAGCAAAATGGACAGGCGGTGCTCGCCAGAATTCCGGGACTCGTCAAACACATTGACGGTCACCCAATGGACGAGTTCCACTTCTACTCGGTCATGCCCGAGGATCCCGGTCTCCTTGGTATCAGCGACCACCCGCGCCGGCATCGTGAGATGAGTGCGCTCGGGTCCACCAGCGTGCAGCGGCCGGTCCTGCATAAACGACTCACCGAGTTCGCGAAGAAGCTTGGGATTCCTGTCAACTTCGGTCACAAGCTTGAGAAGCTCGAGCAGACAGAAGACAGCGTTACCGTTACCTTCGCCAATGGCGTGCAGGAAACTTTCAGCTTCGTGGTCGGCTGCGACGGCTTGCACAGTAACACTCGTAGTTGTCTCTTTGGGGAGACATCTGCAGACTACACAGGCGTGTCTCAAGTGCGTGCCCTCACTACATTGTATACTTAAGGTGCTGAATATCGTCTTACTTCAGTGGGGTGGCTTGTCCCCCACTCCCGAGTTCTGGAAGGGAAAACGCGCACCGGCGGACCTGTACGGAAACGGGGCGCACATGATTGTTGTCCCTGTGAGCGACTCGTTGATGACCTGGGCGTAAGTGTTACGCTCTCTATTTTTTCCATCATACCCTCCTGATGCATGGTCGTACAGGCTTTCCCAACGTGGACCAGAGTTCAAGGAGGAGTGGAGGTCAATCGATGCCGCAGCGGCTGAACACTTCAAGAAAAACTCGCCGTTTAGCCAATGGCCCTTCGGCGCCGGTGAGTTGGTCAGGAACAGCTTGAAGATAGTCAGGGTTGGTGCAGTGTTGACTTTATGCTCTATGTTCGTTGGCTAATTCCCGGCGACAGTATGGTATCTATGACCGCCCAGAGTTGAAGACTTGGTTCCGGGGACGGGTCGTCCTCATCGGCGATGCGGCGCACCCCACAAGCCCCGTATGACCGCACATTTTTCTACCTGTCTGACCATTTCTCATAATTCTCGTATAGTTTCTCGGAATGGGCGCGAATCAATCCTACGAGGACGTCGGCCTCCTGATTGACCTCCTCGAGAAGTACAGCCCCTCGACGGAATCTCCGTCGACGGATACGCTGGCTGCAGCCTTCACAGAGCTCGAGCGGGTGCGTCTGCCACGCACGGCGGACCTTGTCAAGAGGGCGCGCATACAAGGCGAGACGCGTGTCGTCTCGGGCGTCGAGGCATGCATCAAGCGTAACAACTACTACCGCGATGTATGCAATGATCCTGTCAAATTTAAAGCACGTTTTGGAATACTAGTATGAGGTGATATACATCCTTCACACTGTTTGCGTAGACGCTAATCACTTATCTAGTCAGATAATCAGATAATCGTCAAGCTAGAGCATTCGGGAACCTTGCTGCATACCGAGTATGATACTAATACATTTCAAGGTACTCAAGAAGTGCTACATTCTGCGGCTAAACTGCAAGAACAGGATAGTCTATTCACTGGAGGCTGCACTGGCATATCGATAACATTTGATATTTCTTCTTGACGCGAGAATAATCTCATTTAACTCTCAACCGCCCGACCCCGCCGCACAATGAAAGTTCCTAATATTGCTTCCTTGCGTTCTTGTGAGAAATTTTGTCAGAATGGAGCCAGGAACGAGAACGACGACAAGCGGCTAGTGAACACTTCGACGCTTTGCGTGATGCAGATGACTTTGCGCGCTGTGGCTTGCACAGGATTGTCTGTATGAAGCCATCTGGCGCCTGAGACTGTGCGGCGTGAGCACCAGTCGCCGCGTCTGCGTGCATGGTCGAAACCAAAATCCAAATGCCGCACGAGCTCCGCGGACACCTGATCTCAGGCCCGCCTCGCTTGTTGGATGTCGCCGATATAGCGGAACATAAGCGACAGCCGCGGCACAGCCTGACGCTTGCAGCTTGCACGTAGCTTCGGTATGACATGCAATGCACTGAGTTCCCTACATCAAAAGCTTAATGTTCATCGATAGCATTAGTGTGTGGAAGAAAGATGGAATCCGGCGTATGATGAGCTCTCTGCCAGTGAGTCGCAACTAATGGCCCTCCAGAGCGAATCTCTCCGTTTTTGGACTCTTCGGGAATGCCACCACTCCATCGGCATATCGGTGAGCTCTTAGGTCGAGGTGGCGTACTGCTCCGCTCTCTTCGCCCCTTCAAATTGACGCATGATGTTGATCGCTATTACCGCCTACCCGAGGCTGTCAGTTACCGTTGGAAATCGAAGCATGATATATGATACATGACAGGCAGTGTGCCATTGGGAAATGGACGCTCACGTCGGAACTCGCGAAAGTACTTCGAATCCCTACTCAGCCCACGGTATATGAGCCCACACAGCCCATATGAGCAAGTGGCATAGCGGTAAAGTTTGATGTGCAGAGACTCGGATAAAATTTAGCACCTGCATAGGTCACTCACCAGTTTGGCTAACGGTAAATGGAACTGAGCAAACGCCTCGCGGTCATTTTGAGAGGATTATCCCTTGTATAAGATTTTATGGTTCTGAGTACAGGCTGCCATGAGTCCCGCGACAGCATGAGATTTTCGTGTAGTCGTGAAACACATTAAATACAGCATAGATGTCAAATGTACATAGCTACAGATGATATTAAAATTGGTAGAAGAAAGAAACACGACTCTGCGAAAGAATAAACATAAGCATAGCCACGTCCAGAGTGTCACGAGCGACCAACGTGCTTCTCTTTCGTCTTTCTGTCATAATTTAATTATTTTGCTGATTATATGGGCACAGTATTGAACTTTGCATATAGAGCAGAAGTGCCACATACGGAGGTTCGCCATGTAATCCAGCTGACTTCAGCGATTTAAACGCAAGAACAGGCGGACATATGGACTTGATAAGCTTCCTCCGCCTCCTCTGATAGCAGCGCTATTTAGTCTATGATGTGACTCACGTAGCATAGGATTCTTCTCATTAGGCTTTGGTGCTCTCCATATTAACGACGCTGCCAACTTCAGCCGGCGTCGGTTTGTAGCAAAAGTAGATAAGCCCCAATGAGGCAGTTCGAATAGCCGCCAATATCCTTCATCTTGAATCCCGACTTCCGACCTCAGTCTGTCGCGTCCAAAACTTTTCAAATACAGGCGCAGGCATCAATCCACCTTGACACAGGTTCATTAATTGGTTAGACGTTCTGGTACCTTTTCCAAGACTGACTAGTTCTATCACGCTAGCTGCGCTCACCCTAGTCGCCTTCTATATAGGGAACCGCCCGCCATCGGCAAAATTTGATGCGTGGTCCTCCGCAACTATCTTGCGGCGAGTAGACCTCCGAACGCAGTTAATGCACGGTACCCTAACGCGTGAAATGTAGGAAGGCTATATCAGACCGACAGCGAGCGGCGGACAAGCCCTACCTGGCAAAGTACGGAGATCAATCGCCGCTGTGGAGAGGCAACTTCAATCAGCTCCCTGACGCTACGACGGCCTGTCTGGAGCATTGTACGGGCCGCTAAAACATGATCCGGCAATGAAATGACGGTACATGTTAGAAGCGTTAGCTTTGATACCGGAGACTGACGCTGTTCCTGCCGACCTAGTGTGTTCAAACCGACTGTGACAACTGGCCAACAGCACAACGCCGGAACCGGATGATAGGAACGCTGTTCTGCATAGGACGCGCGAAGGCCATGGAGGCTCTGGCGACTTGAGAGGGTAAGCGGACCGGAATGTTGCTCATCATTCTACTCACAAAATCTCCAGAGCAGTCCGTGTCGTGCCTAGATCACCCGCGACCTCCTCGGTAGCTCTCCCATAGGCAAAGCTCCGTGCTCGCGGGCCTAGCAACCCAATTCCGAGGCAATTTTGCGTCATTTCTGAAGACATAGCGTGACTTCCTGCACCACTAAATGGCGGCCCGGCAGCATTGACCGACCTACGCGTTTTCGCGACACCGCTTGCAGGACAGGGCGATGCTCTAAGATACCCTGCCACTCGAGTCTAGCTCCACCTAGCCCAGTACAACTAGTCCCGTACAAGCGAATAGGAACGATCTAAGGCACGCTATCTCTCCAGGCATTGTCTGTGGCCGCCAGCTCATCCGCATCCGCTCTTTCCGTGACAGACAGACGAATCTAAGAAGCGGTTTGGGCGTGCAGGCATCATTTTGTGAGTATGACGCGTGACTAAGCATATTTCTGACTTCGGTCGCTAGAGCAAATATGCTCCCTCCATGCGCTGTCGGAGCGGGTTGTACTGGCGGTGCTGCAGGTTAGACACCGTGCGCACAGGCCTTTTCCCGCCATTCAAAATGTATAAATACTTCCAAGGTCGAGATCAAACCCCCTAACCAATATTCTCTCTAATTCTGCAGTGGAGATGCAGCAAAATCCACTTACTAATCGTCCTCATCGTGCACCCATCATGCGCTACATTGCACTCTGCATTCCGCTCATCATTGCCTCTATGGCCTTTGCTCTTGTCACTGGTGCAGAGGCCCGCACTCTGCCCGACCAGTCCCCTGCCTCTTCTGGACTTTCCCGTCGTGGCAACACCGTCTCTGTACCGGGAGCCAACAACTTCGTCGTTGGCAGCATCTTTGGCGAGCCCCCGAAGACGAGGCACTACAACTTCGTTGTCTCTGAGATGAAAGGCGCTCCTGACGGCTTCACCAAGAACATGCTCGTCGTCAACGGTTGGTGCACGTCGTGGATCCGTCGAGGCAATAGCTGATATGATCCCAGGACTGTTCCCTGGTCCCACTATCGAGGCCAACCAAGGCGACCGCCTCGTCGTGCATGTCACCAACCACATGTCGAACAGGACGTGAGTCCTGAGTTACTCTACCTCGACTGACATTCGTTGACATTTACTCCGCGATGAAGAACTATTCACTGGCATGGCATAGTGCGATATTTGAGCACTGTTACCGACGTCTCTTATAACTAATAATGTCTGTCTTTTTAGCCTCAGAACGGCACAAACTACTATGATGGCACAGCAGCGGTCACAGAGTGTGGTATCCCACCTGGCCAGTCGCTTACTTACGAGTATGTACCTCGCTACTATCTCGTTGTCCTCTCTGACGTCCGCGAGATTTTCAGCTTCTCCCTCGATACATTCTCAGGCACAACTTGGTGGCAGTGAGTGCACGGTGTTTATTTGTCAATAGTCTTTGACTGACGTATATTCCGTCAGTGCCCGTGGGTCTCTGCGCTGAAATTCTTCTTCTTCATGCTAATGACACAATGATCTCGATGCTGACTAATAGATTGTGAGTGCTTCATCGCTTGTGTCTGAGAGCCCTAACGGACTCTGGTATTTAGTGGACACGCAGTATACCGACGGTATCGAAGGCGCGCTCATCGTCCATCCGCGGTCCTACCCTCGCAAGTTTCCGACCTGGGACGAAGATCTCGTTGTCGAGCTGGCCGATGTGTACCATACATTTAGCACCACCATTGCATCCCAAATCCTCTTTGTACGTACCGCGCTGTGCATAGCTTCCGGCAGTATTACTCACTTTGCTTAGGGTGGTGGTACCTTGAACCCACTCCAACTCGAGGTTTCGGACAGCGGCGTAAGTCATCGGCCAAGTTTTGGTACGAGTATACCCTGATAGTCTGACAGGCCATCAATGGCATCGGTCAATACAACGGTAGTACCCGCTACTTTGACGTGAGTTCCTGTATCATGCACTGCATCAGTACCTAGTCTAACTATACAATCTACAGTTTGATCTGAAGCCCAACAAAACGTAAGACTTATCATGACCATAATTGTTTCTACCTTCGCCAACACCTCCCGTAGCTACCGCCTGCGCCTCATTAACGAAGGCTCTGCGGCACAAATTCGTTTCTCTATCGACTACCATGCGCTGACGGTCATCGAAGCCGACAATACGCTCACGGAGCCCTACACAGTCTCTGATCTCACGCTCGGAGTTGCGCAACGCTACTCAGTGCTGATCACCACAAATCAGACGGCTGAGCCTGAGGGAAATTACTGGATGCGCGCCGGGCTCATAAACGAAACTTTTGTTGCGGGTGTCAACACGGACATCCGTGGGATCATTAGATACGGCAACAGCAAGTCTACGCCAACGACGTCAACGGATCCTGGCGTGCCGGGATCGGGTCTCTCCGACCTCAATCCCGCGCTTCTTGCCCCCGCCATCGCCACGACTCTGCCAGATAGCACCAAGTATATAGTCTGGCTTGTAGAGCATACACACATGCTAATCGCCGGTCGCTAGGTTCTACAACGTCAACTTTACTGTTGGCCCCAGGACCGGCGGTGGAACGATTGCCACCATGAACGGCACGGTACGCTGACAGTCCGTTCACTTTGTATTTCGGAGATGTTGACGCGCACTACAGAGCTGGGAGCCGCTCTCAGGCACTTCAACTCTGCTGCAGATTCTAGAAGCGGCCAAGAAAGGCCAGACGTTTGCTCCCGAGGGCCCTAGTTTGGAGTTAGGGAATCAGCTTATTATCACAGAGAACTCGATCCAGGTCGTAGATCTTTTGCTGGTAAGCTGCAGTGGGTTGTATTTGGTCACAGTGCAGCTGACATGCCTTCGCAGGTGAACGTAGGCTTCGGAATACATCCGTTCCACCTTCACGGCCATATGCCGTACATGTAGGGCTTCGTATTTTTTCACATGCCTATACGTCTTGTTGATATCGGCGACTCTAGCCTGGGCTTCGGCAACGGCACATACGACGGGACAGGACTAAACACTGTAAACCCGATAGCGTGAGTGATATTACTTACCTGAGATTCCTCGTCCTATGCTGACAAGATACTCTGGTGTAGCCGGGACACTTATGAGGTCCCCAGCAACGGCTGGCTTCTGGCGCGGTTCGTTACCGATAATCGTCAGTCTTGCTCCTACTGAAGAGATACGCTACCGCTAATTTGTACCTCTCCAGCCGGAATTTGGACCATCCACTGCCGTATGTCCTTCCGTGAATATTCCCTGCGGTGTCTGCTGACTGCCTCTGTCAGATATTGCTTGGCACATGCAGGCCGGTCTGCTTATGCAGATCAACAGTCTGCCGTCCAAGTCGGCGAAGTTCAATATTCCGCCTGCTATCCTCAGTCAGTGTGGCGTTTGAACAGCGTACCTCGATAATGTGGAATGGGCTCTCTATTTATGGCTATAGGGATAGGATCTGTGAACTATCTATGCGGCATCCTTGTGACTTGGAGTGGAGAGAGCATTGTTATGTAGTAGCACACGTTTGTGTCGAGTAATGTAGTACGCTTGCAAGTGATACTGTTGTGCTAATTCTTAATCGATGGAAGGAGAGCATATGGTGCCGTTGAGCAGCAGCGATGCAATGCTACAAGAAGTGGTTCTCGGCGCAATGTAGAACTGAAGGCCGCTTTAAATGTGTTATTACCTGCTCATTTAATGCCGACTGCGGCGTGCGTTCGATCTGTAGATCTCCAGAATGATATAAGAGATGGCACTCCTTTACAAGTATACCTACAAGACGTGACGCCACAAGGCGCTGCAGTGCGCATCGCCTAGAAGGCTGTCCCTGGGGCAGTGTTCCAAGTCGGATATTAGCCGCGCCGTTGTTAGTATATCACGCCTTTGCCGGCTAACGTGCATCGTCCGTCTGGCTCGGCTATGCGCTCCCTCGTTCGAGGATCTGCAGCGGTACGCTCTCTACAACTACTTTGATGCTGACGTCCGATGCACTAGGGGCACGTCTGCCAGAGGAGCTCATCCATGCTATCCTGGTGCGGCTCCGGGACAGCCAGTCTTGGGAGAGACCACCAAAGCGCGGCCTCGCCTCTTGCAGCTTGACCTGTCGCCACTGGGCCAGGCTCATTAGGCCCATGCTCTTCGGAGACCTCACTCTTAGTAATGCGGACGATGTATCCCAACTGCTCGCGTTCCTCGGCGCCCGCGACTTCCTGGGCTGCGCTCTCAGAACCTGCATTCTCCATCTGGATCTTGTCGAAGATCGGGCGCCCCCAGGCATCCCTTGGAGCCACCATTTGCTCCTGAGGTTGAGTGGCCAGGCCCTTCTCGTCAATGCCACATGGACCATAAGGAATTCCCCAGCAGACGATGAGCTCCAGCAGGCACGAAGGCCGTCGTCCCTTCCGTCATGGTGTCTACTCCCCAGGACGCTCCCTACGTCTTCGATACCTCTATTCCACCTTACCTTGTCTGGTCTACATATTCCATCTGTTCGCGGCCTGGCGAACTTCATTAAACACCTCCAAGTCAAGCAGCTTCAGCTTGAAAAGATAACCTTCCTAGAGGCGAACCCCGGATATGTCCTGCATCCGCGATCCTCCCCCCGAACTTCGCAAAGTGACTTCCACGTTTGCATCTTGGACTGTATCAAACAGTCAACAGACCTTCCATTCTGGATCAAATTGGCACATACCCTCCTGGCCAGCCAACTTCGCTTACCTCTTGACGACGACACTGAGACAATGATAATGAAGCATCTCCAGCTTTTTGCATCGCTCCACCAATGCGAAGAAAATATTTCAACATTGGCAGTCAACTATATGCATCTGGGAAGTGACAATCTAACTGTGAGTTTCGTTTCCCTGTTCAAGCTGAGCAGACATGGGAGTATAGAAAATGACGCATCTACAGTATTGCGAATATTACCTGTACAAAACTGGGGCAAGCGCGGGCAGGTTTGCCGAAGTATGCGTCCAGGAAATCGGAGCTGTTGACGACGCCCGTCTATACATCAGCGAAGTCAAGTTGACATGTCCAGACGTGGATAATGAGAACATACCTTCGTTACTCGTGCAGCTAGAAACTGCCCTCCTCGGCATAAACGGAACCAACGTCCCTGCACTGTGCATCAAGTATGATACCATAGATACCGGCAAGGCCCTGATATGCGGCATTTTGGAAGGGCGCGTCTTGACGCAGCTTTGCATGCGGCCGGAACAGGTCTCCATAGGCCTCCCTGGTACTTTCGTCCACCTCACCATCGAAAAAATCCTTTCCGCTCCAACCTATATCACGGAAGGCAACGAAACCTTTCTGCTCAACACTGCTCAGCGCGCCCAGTGGGTGTTAAAGCGAGACGACCTGCTGAAAAGCGCATACTTGCAGGAGCTGCTGCATACTGCCCAGGTTGCCACACCGACTACTAACACCAGCTGTGGGACGGATACAAGTCCGGAAAAGGATCCTGACGATGATGAGGTAGAAGGATTCCGAGAAGTCGCGAAACTTGAGGAGTGGGGGTACTGGGAAGACGAAGAGGAATCAGGAGAAGATCGCGAGTGGGCGGCATCCGGAGAGCGAGAGCTTTGAGTCCTTATCAAACAAGCGAAGTCGGAAGGTTACATAGACCGCTTCACTGAGCCCTTAGGAGAGAATTTGGCGGAGGTCGGAGGATGTGTTAGATAGGAGATTAGCAGCGGCGAACGGACTGGCATGTATTCTTCGATGGCTAACACACGCGAATTTTACCCTAGATGACTTGACCTTGCGAAGAAGCTACGCGTCACTTTGCAATGGCTGCCATGTTACGTGTGTCGGCTTTATTCCTCTTTGAATATCCCTTTAAAATTTAATTTTCATAGCTTTAGACGTCTACATAGATCAGTCGCATTTCCGAGCAGCATTGTGGGCTGGCTGAGCATGCTTATGTGGAAACGAACGCCGCGTGCGAGTTTGCGACTTACGGGAGCATGTACATGATACCAGTAAGCTATATTGGGAGCAAGAGGTGGTGGTGTTGAAACGGCAAGGCGAAAAGCGCGTCGAATCTCATCAGTGGAGCGCGCCCCCGCCATCAGCGGATCAGCGTGATCCGCGACCAGCCATGGCGCCCGTCGTCATTCTCGCACTGTGTTCCAGCTGCGTAATCAGACTATCTTGGATCATCACAGCAATGTAACAAGAAAATAGAGACGATAGAGATATTAACACCATAGTCGAAGCTAGGAGTAGATGGGTGGCATGCCCATAAAAAAGAACGCAGAGTTAGAATCACGTATGCCGACCGTCCAAGGATGCAATTCCACCGCTGTCATCGACTGCTCGCCGTCGCACTCACCCTACATGCGGCTTCCTCTCCTTCTGCGCTCGATAGCCCATATCAACCACCCATAGCCCACCTTATCCGAGCCTATTCTCTAACAGCGCATCCAGGAGGGCTGCTCGTCCCGTAACCAATACCGCACCCGCTAGTCGGAATAACTGCTCGGTCCTCCTTTTCTTTCTACATCTCAGCCCTCAAAATCTCTCGAACCCACCCTGCGGCATCCCCTTCAGTCCCTTGTGCGGCACGTGGCTCCGTTTCTGAGCTTGCGTCCGTCGTCGTTCCTGTCTCCCGGGCGGCGTGCAGTAGCTCTTGAAAGTAGGTGTTCCTTTCGTCGGTCCACCCGCGTAGCAACCACTCCGTGCGCTGGGAGGTGCTGAGCGAGATAGTGCTCCCATCATGACTGATGTAGGTCGGGACGACGAGGATGTCGTCCAGACTAAAGTACCTGACGGCCTTGGAGATATCGATGATGACCTGACGTGTCCACGCACCAAGCTGCGTGAACACGCGCTTTTCAAGTATGTCGTGAATCAGGGCCCTACCGACGTCCTCAGGCTTGCAATATATAATCAATACGGGAATGCGAGGGCCGCTCATGTCAATGAGCGCGGCCTCTAGTTGCTCGAGCGCCGAAGTAAGGTCCGACGCGTCGTCCACGTTTGGACAAGCAAACGTGACTTCGCTGATGTATTGACGTGCGTCGCTACTAGACCTGTTCCGAACGTGTACTTCAGCGAATCCAATTCCGTACAGGGAATGTGTATGATGTTGTGTTGGTGTCTCTCCTACACTTGTGTAACTACCCAAATCAGCCAAAAGAATTGAAAGACATACCGTCATCATCAAAAGCATCTGCGTACACCGCCCTCAACTTTGGACTGTCTTTCTTGCGCCGATGAAGCGACACAAAGAGTTGGAGATACTTCGCCAAAAACACCTCAGTGCTGTCGTCCAACGGCGGGCAAAGTTGGCTGGCGAAGACGAAGTTGGAAAATCCGATCCAGAACGGCAGGCTCGTCAACCCCTCGATGCAGTGCGAAATGGAAATGTTGATGTCCCACGGACGTCGGGGATAGGCTCGTGGACGCGGGACGAGTCCAGCGTTCTCTGGGAAGATAACATTCTTAAGCTCGAGTTCATGAAATTTCAATGATTTGACAAAGTTCATAAGACAGCGAACAGATGGGACTCATAGACAGGACAGTGTGACGTGGTGCAGGGTCACCGAAGACGAGGGTAAAGTTCTGGGAAGTTGACCGGACGGAAGTGACGACAGCTTCGATCGGCCGTCTGCAGAGGCACCTTTTACAGCCCAGTTGACAAAGACATGAGGGAGATGCTGATGCAGCCTCAAAAGCACATGGTGCCCCCATGGGATGCTGGAAGATGCCCGATCCTCAACAAGGTCCAGATTATGGGCACAATCTCTGAGAGCACAGTGCAGGAAATCGGGAGTGCAGAGGAATGCGAGCAGTTGGGAGACGTCTTCGGTGCACATGAGGGTAAGATATCCGAAGAGCATAGGCTTGATGAGCTTGGCCCAGTGACGACAGGTCAGGCTGCACAAGGCCAGGCCGCGCTTGGACTGCTTTCCCCATAATTCGCCGTCTTGAAGTCGTATCAGGATGGCGTGAACGAGCTCATCTGGAAGGAACGTCTTTGATGTGGGCAACATCAGTAATAATCAGTCGGTGGAGAGCACTTATCGTTGAGGATTCTTAAGTCACAGAGTATGGGGACGGACTAAAATTCGAACGACGCGCGTGGAGATGCGTATCGTGAGAAACCCATTTTAAATGCGGTGCGTTCGGCAGGGAGCGGCGCCGTCATGCGGCGCCCCTCTCGCTGTTCGCTCGCTGTTTGTACACTCTCTCATTGGAAGACCGCAGCGGTACGTTATTTGTCTCTGAACCGGTGCTAATGTCCGATGCATTAGGAACACTACTGCCTGATGAGCTCGTCCGCGCCGTCCTGGTGTGGCTTGATGATAACGAATCCGAGACATGGGAAAGGACATTCAAGCGCGGCCTCACGCCCTGTAGCTTGACCTGCCGCTACTGGGCCAAGCTCATTAGGCCCATCCTCTTCAAATATCTTACTCTCGAGAGTGCAGACGACGTATCCCAACTGGCCGCGATTCTCGGCGCACATGACTTCCTGGGCTGTCCGATCGGGAATTGCATAGTCAATCTAACACTTGTTGAAAATCCAACATCCTCCGGCATCCCATGGGGTCACCAGCTTGCTCTGAGATCATACCAACAAGTCCCTTTCGCCAAGGTCACTTGGACCATAAAGGGTGCTCCGACAGATAGTCAGCTTCAGCCATCACGAAAGTGGCCGACGCTTCCGCCCGCTCTGCTTCCCAGGGTACTACCTGCGTCTCCGATACCTCTTTCCCGCCTCGCCTTATCTAATTTGCATGTTTCATCTGCTCGCGGCTTGGTGAACTTTGTCAAAGGGACGCAGCTCAACATACTGGAGCTTGAGAACGTTACCTTCCCGGGGAACCCTGGGCATATCCTTCGTCCACGATCCTCTCCTCAGCAACAACCTCGGCGCATCGACTTCTGCGAGCTCTATATACAGCGCTGTATTGAGAAGTCGACGGACCTTCCGTTCTGGATCAAGTTGTCCAATGCTATCTTTACCGGCCAACGTCGGCCGCCATCAGACAACGACACCGAGGCGCTAGTTACAAAACATCTCAACCTCGTTGCATCACTCCATCAATGCGAGGATAGCATGTCATTGTTGTGGGTCGGATACATGCCCTACTTGAATAGCGGAAATGTGAGTTTCGATCTTCTTTATGTCAATCGGAGTCACAGAAGTGTAGGAATTATTCCAACGCAGTACTACTACGAATACACCCTCTACAAAGCTGGTGCAGAGGGCGCGATCGCGGAGGTGCATATTCCAGCCAAGAGCGGCGCCAACCCACGCATCGTGCGAGTCACGTTTGTATGTCCAGACGCGGATGGCGAGTACCTGTCTTCGCTGCTTCATCAGCTAGAGGCCGCGTTCATCGACATAAACGGTATCGATATCCCTGAGCTGCTCATTAAGTGCGACATCAGAGACTCCAGCAGGGCCTTGGTATGCGACGTACTGGAAGGGCGCATATTGACGCAGCTTCGTGCGCGGCAGCCAAAAAAGGTCCTCATAGACGTCTCGCTTGGTAACCGTGCTACTATTGAAAATATCCTCTCTGCCCCATCATGCATCAGCCACGGCGATGAGACCATATCGCTGAGCACTGTTCAGCGTGCGGAATGGTTGCTGCGCTGGGAACACGAGAGGGACGCCTACCTGCGGGAGCAGCTGCATGCTGCCCAGGCGGCCAAAGCGACAGCGAACACAAGCTCTGAAACAGCACCAGGAGCCACGGAAGGGTCTGAGGACGACATAGCAGAGCGAGCCCAGGGGCTGTGAGGTTCGGGGACGAAGAAGAACAGGGCGAATTCAAGTAGAGCGGGTAGTATTGGGTGTAGGGAGGGATTCGATACGTTGTCGGACAAAGGGCACGAACGGGAAATTGCGTAAACGGCTGCATTGGGCCAGCGGAGGCGGAGGACAGACTCGGACTGGCCCAGATATTTGGATAGTATGTGTACGTGATTCTACTCTGAACAGTATCCCTCCCCTTACGTATACTTAAGTTCCCCTTCGCTCTCGGCTTCTGCCATGCTGCTCATGTTCCGATCTTCCGATTTCTCCAATACGCCCCCCCCCCCCCGGCTTAATTCACTACACTCATGTATCCTTAGTATACCGCCTAGTTATTCAGACGCAACGACGTGCTCTGACCGTGATGGCGAAGAGTAGGGGTTATAATGGCGAAGAGTAGAGGTTATAATAGCGTTTGCTGCGAGGGGGATATCGAGGTGTGATACATATAAGCTGCCAGCGCAGGCAAAGAATGAAGGGAGCGTCAGAGCAAGACCAGGAGCTGCTGGAGATGGAGAAATGTCGGCGAACGAAGTTCAGGGAGTGATTGAGCGGAGGAAAGTGCAGGGACCCTGAAGAAGCTATCGCGGCTCACACGCATGGCGGAATCGAATGACGGGCTCGGGAGTACTCCGCAGTGCGTTCCGTCACTGAACGTGTCCACAGCAGCAGCCGTTTGGTACAACGTATATTACGTTTGAACAAGAGATAAGTACAGGAACCGACCATACTCCGTAAACTCGCGTGTATGTGGTATCAAGCTCTGTGAGTAGGGATACAGACATTAGCAGCGCTATCGTAGCAGTACAGAACTGTACACGTGTGTCCGTAAGCATGTTAACAAGGAATATCAAGCGTTAATCGAAAGCCACGATTTCAGCTCCTTCACCAGTTTCTTCGCCCCGACCTCCAGCTTCTCATCCTTCACTCGCCCGACCTCAACAATTGTCTTCTTCCGCTCTCTCGTCATCAGCACAAGACCAAGACGTCTCGACGAGAACGAGACAGAAAGGGTGTTGAACGGCACCGTTCGCTGCTTCGTCCTCGATGAAGATGCACTGTTCACGGTTTGGGCAATGGTTCCATCTGCATCCGTACTGATTACGCCTTCGCGCAGGCCATATCCCCGCACGAGATCCTCGGTCCGTGCGCGCGGCTGCATGAGATCGAAGAGATCGCGGAAACTCTCATCACGCTCGAGGTGCAGCTCGGATTCGTCCAACCAGACGTCCTCGCGGACCTTTAGAGTTATGAATAGGTCCAGCACTTGCGTTTCACGCTGTAATGAGCGAATTTGTATGTGCGAGTTGGCGGGTTTGGGTATGGTGGACGGGGATGGGGACTGTAGCGGGAAAGGGTCGGAGCTGTATGGTGGGTGGACGAGGGAAGCGTACGCTTGAAGGTACGTCGAACGGAGGACGTGCATACAAGCTACGTATGTTATAGCCACGGGCTACGCTGAGGGACACTGCGGATGCCACTCACCGACATAAAATGCTCTGTTCACCATCCTTAAGCTAACCGCGAGCCAGTGCAACGTCTTCCTCTGCTTTTCCAAACATGACGCGTTAGTGAACGTCAAGTATACGGTACGCAAAAGTAGATGCGAGGGCAGATTGCCCAGCGTAGGTCTCTCTCGTGAGCTGTACGGGAACGGCGGTGGGAAGGGTGGAGCAGCATTTCCGCCAGGAGAGTACGGCGGAGGGGGAGGAAGACCCGGCATTTTCTCTTCAAGAATGATCATTTCGAGATGTAGATGACAGAGAAGAGTTATAAGTGAGCGTAGGCGTGTGATGGATTCGTCAGAGGCGTTCGGTGGTTGCGGAAGTATGGCAAGAATGTCGTCGTTTCTAAATGGGGGTTGCTGCGGATGAACAGGTGCTGACGGCGACTAGATATGCATCTGCAACCCAGTAGTATGCATGAGAAAATGAGCCCTAAAGGATGCAGCAAAGTTTGGAATCGTAAAAGGAACGAAGATGCACAAGGTCGCAGATGAGTCCTCTTCGTAGGACAGACAGTGTCCAAGGTCCAGCAAGCGGCGGCGGGTATGCGGGGTCTCGTTCATGGGCCGTAACAGCTATAAGACTGTAAGGAGCTCTGGCTTAGTGCATAAACCGAGGTTTCCGACTGCGGCTTAGATAGGTAAGAAAACCAGGCTTGCCATCATAGCTTGCTGTACTTACCCTCCGGGCTCGCAAGCGTATATCAACTTCACTCTGACTTCACTTGACTTTTTTCCACATTATTCGGTGTTGTCATTTCATCCTTGCACAACTCCTTGCTGCTGCCCAGGTACTCTCGTCATCACAGTATTTCACATGTTGCCTGCCTCCAGTCCATAACAGACGCGAGAGAACACCATCTCGGACACCCCAGCAATATGGCCACATCCACACGCCTTCCAGTTGGAAAACTGCTGCTAATAGGCTTAATCTTTCACCTGGTCTACATTGGCTCTATTTTTGATTGCTACTTCATGAGCCCGGTCGTCCATGGTATGCGGGGATTCCAGGCGAGCACTGTTGGAGCAAAGCGTTTAGTCTTCATAGTCGGTACGTCACGCATATCGCGTCAGTCTTATACTTCTAAGCTACCTTCGCAGGCGACGGTCTAAGAGCAGACTTGCTCTTCAATTTGAAACCCTTCCCCAATATCCCAGGTTCTCCGGAGGTGGTTGCGCCGTACCTGCGGACTGTGGCAGAGACACGAGGAGCATTTGGGATCTCCCACACACGTGTGCCGACGGAGAGTCGTCCAGGACATGTAGCACTCATCGGTATGCCTGTACTGCATCGAAGATGTACAGTAATTTATTTGTGCGTGCATAAACAGGAGGGATGTACGAAGACGTGTCCGCAGTCACCAGTAACGAGCTTTCCCATAGTCCATCGAACCAATAAAGACTTACGCGCAATTTGCCAGGGGGATGGAAGACGAATCCGGTATATATGTTTCTGCTATGCGTGCTGAACAAAATAGCTGAAGACTGTAAAGGTCCACTTTGACTCAGTCTTCAACCAATCAAGCCACACTTACTCGTTCGGCTCGCCGGATATTCTCCCCATGTTTGCGCAAGGTGCGACGCCCGGTAGGGTCGACATGTGGTGTTACCATGAGGACGAGGAAGACTTCACGAAAGATGCGACAGCGCTAGACGTGTGGGTGCTGGATCACCTGCGCGCGCTGCTCCATAACGCGACGGCGAATGTGACACTTTCTGCGCAGCTGCACGAGGAGAAGACGGTGTTCTTCCTGCACCTTCTTGGACTCGACACTACTGGACATTCGTACCGCCCGCACTCGAAGGTGCGCACGTATACGAGACAAGATGGATAGCAAGCTGACGCGAGAGGTAGGAATACATGACGAACATCCAGGTCGTCGACACAATTGTACGGCAGACGGAAGCGCTGTTCACCGAGTTTTACGGCGACGAGGACACGGCGTTCGTCTTCACGGCTGACCACGGCATGTCGGTCATCGGGAACCATGGCGACGGCGGTGAGGTCCGCCGGTACATCACTATCTATTCATTGCGCTCATAACTCTGTTAGACCCTGATAATACCCGCACGCCCTTGATTATGTGGGGTGCAGGAGTTCGGGGGCCTCTGCCAGATACTGTACCATCGTCGCACGACGAATATTCACAGCCATGGGGCCTGAACCATCTATTCAGACGCGACGTTTCACAAGCGGACGTCGCTGCGCTAATGTCCGCAATACTCGGTATTGACTGGCCAGTGAACTCTGTTGGTGTAGTGCCCGACGTAGATCCCACCAAACCTGGATATTTGAAGTTACCTGGCGGGACAAGAGACCAAGCCACGGTCGTGCTTGTCAACGCCGAGGTATGTCGATACCACTGAATGGCGATTAGAACTAACGGTCACATCAAGGTCATACTGGAGCACTACCGTGTCAAGCATGGTGCGTGTTCCTCCTATGATCGAACGCTAACCGCTGAACACCGGTCAGAGATCAAACGCGCGAACGCGCTATTCTACAAGCCCTTTCCCTACTTCTCCGACAGCGACGATCCAGAAGACAAGCCGGGCCAGTCAGCCCTCAAGGTTATCCAGATCCTGGTTAATCGTGGCCGGTACGACGACGCGCGCGAGGCCGCCGCAAAACTCATCGACCACACGCTGGCTGGTTTGCGATACCTCGAGACGTCAGTCTCCTTGTCTTATTTATCCGTTTATCACTAATTGTGCTGTCAGATACGACCGGACTCTAATTCGCACGATCGTCTTTATTGCGTACACAGGTTGGATCGCGTTCAGCGCGGCGCACGTCTTACCACGAGCGTGGGCGCAGCCACTCGAGGATATGCAATTCATCGACATCTTCTCGGTGTCGTGCCTACTCGTATCGTACCTACTGTTCGCATTGCAGCATACGCCATGGACGCTCTACCTTTATGCCGTCTTTCCCGTGTACTTCTGGCACGAGGCGGTCGCACGGTGCGGTGGCAGTGTCACGAGGACGTTCCTCACGGCACCACCGAAAATCCTCGGGAAGATTTTCGTCGGCATGTGTGTGGTCGTTGCCGCGCTCGAGAGCATGGTGGTACGTCACTTTGTCCGACTGGCAGCTGAACTTTCGTTCACAGAGCAGGACAGCTCGGATATACCCATCGCTCGGTATGGAGCGTCGGCTTCGTGATCCTTGGCGCTGTTTGGCCGCCACTATTCTGGCCGCGCAAGCTGATCTATGAGCGTCCCACACTTTGGGCAGCGTGGGCTGTGACGTGTCTCGGGTCTGCGATGTTCCCTCTGCAATCGGTGGACAAGGTGGAGAGCCTTGCATGGATGTAAGTCTTCTGCTATGTACCTACACTAGCTTCTGTTAACGATATCGGCATAGCATGGGCGGAGGCGTCGTGATGCTTGCTTGGGGCTGGTACCTATTTGACCTCTACAAGGAGCAGATGATCTTGGAGACAAAAATTGCTGTGTACGTACAGGTGTGTGCGAGCGTATTTGGCTTCTAGCGTGGTGTTGACCGTCCATAGCTTGCGCTTGTCCTGGCAAGCATGGCTATCACCTTGAGCTCTACCCACAGCCTTCGGGCCAAGCTTGGCCTGCCACTAGCGAATCAAGTCGCGGGCTGGCTCATCCTCAGTTTGTCCCCGTTTATTTCGTCGCAGCGATCTTGCACTCAATCGTTGTACCAGTGACTGCAACAGCAGTGCCCTTCCTGCTTCGCTCGCAGTGGCTTACGCCTGAGACACGTACCCTGACGCTCTTCCTTGGCTTTGCCGTTATTTTCGTCATCCTCTCCATTAGTGTCGAAGCGCACTTCTACACGCTATACTCAGCAACGCTCCTCACCTGGACGCGAGTCGAGGCTGCACTCAAGGAGCACCGCTCGGCACAGCCAAAGAAGGACAAGAACAAGCTCACTCAGGGATACGAGGCGTGCGCGGATGATGTGCGAATCGCGGTGTTCTTCTTATTCTTCGTGCAAGTCGCGTTTTACGGGACGGGAAAGTGAGTGCTAGGAAGATATTCTGAAGATGGCTTGATGGCTAATACTTTATGCTGCAGTGTTGCGTCGATATCGTGAGTACCGTAACTATTGAGAGTCAGCGTATTCCTCAAAAACATAAAGATCGTTCTACCTAGAGCCCGTCTATAGGCTCGTTCCAATATTTAACCCATTCCTCATGGGTGCGCTCTTGGTGCGACCCTTTTAAACCTGAGGAGACGTCTATTGATCGCTGTCCACCCAGATATTAAAAATTATCGCACCATATGTCATGCTCTCCGTCTACTTTGCGCAGCTGAATCACAAGCTGGGCCTCCCGCCATTCAGCCTGTTCTTGGTCGCGCTTGCGCTGACAGATGGTACGCACCACCCTCTATCCTCCTGCTCATCGCTGACCTCCAGGCGACTAGTAATGACACTGACGTTCTTTTTCAATGTCACCGATACCGGTACGTCTTTTTAACCTTGCATCCCTGGAGAGTGCCAAGCTGACGTGTGTGGGTAGGCTCGTGGCTTGAGATTGGTCAGACGATTAGCTTCTTCTGCATCAGCTCCCTACTGCTCGTATGGTCCGCGGGTATATGTGCTCTAGGCGAGTGGCTCCTGGGCCCCCCTTCTCCCTTGCCGAAGACGAAGGCGGCGTAAATCACATATCTAGATGCTTTTCCATCTTAGAGGGTTACAGCCACACTAATATCTGCCTTCCGCTCTGATTCTTGCCTGCGGGATTGATGCAGAGGTACATGCGCGAGCAGCTTGACCGGTAAAGTTCCTACTCGCGCGTGTAGGCGTCGTGACGCAATCTTATAATATGGGCCCGAGAAAGTATAAGTGTACCTGCCGGACGCCCATGAGAAGGCCGTCGTCGGACAAGAGGGGGCAACGCGACCCCACGTCGACCAGGTGCCTGGCCAGAGTACGCATCACCACTGAAGACCGCTATCACCTCACCAGCTCATTAAAAGCTGCAATGCACATATCGAGTCTATTTGCACAACATATCGTCTACAATATTCTAGATCTCTCGTGTATTCGTCGGCAACTATACCCAAGCGAGGTTCACTACGGTAGCCTAAACGTACGGCGGGCCGAGAGCTAAACAGCAACGTCAGCACTGCGGGAATAAATAAGGAATGCGAAACTGACGCACCCTTGCGGAAGATGTTCAACGTGAACTCGACCACGAGCAGGAGTACGCCTCCACCGGGCGCTAACCGCATGACCTTGGGCGTGAAGCCCTTGTAGAGCGCGCCGAAGCCTTCTTCGCGGGCAATAGTCACCAGCCTGAGATGCGGTACGTGAGCGCAGGGCGACGTGCGGGAAAGAGATGACATACGCGGGGTATGTCCAATTATACTTGGGCACTACACCCGGAACCTTCGTGGCGCCCTGGATTCGTGACTTCACGACCTGCATCGTATCAGAGCTATTAGTATGGGGAACCATGCAAGACGGGGGATTGACTAACATCAAATCTATGGGTATGTCAGCTTTACTAGTTGTGGTATCCCTACCATAATTGTACGTACGGAGTGTTTATAGCGGTACCGACGAAACCTCCGACTGTTCCGGCTCCGAGGTCATTGAGCAGACGCGCCTTATTTGACTATGGAGCACGTCAACTTCCGCGGAGAGCAGCAGAGAGATTGACGGAATACCTCGGGCTTCGGGAGCATTTCCCTCACTTTGAAAATACATCCGAAATATCCCGCGTTCCACCACAAATGGCTGGGGTGGTGTATCAGCACAAGCACAGCAACCTTTAGCCCTGCACTTGCCGCCAGAACGTAGACTCCATTCCAACGTAAAAACCTGATGCGCAGATAAGCATGCAACGCAACTACAAAGATTTCAAAAGCGAACCTAGCAGTCCCTCTTTCCTGATGATAGTCCTCACCACGTCCATGGGGCCGGCGAAGGTACTGTGCTTGTCTTGCAGCTTGATCTTTACGAGTTCAAACGGCACGACAACGAAGCTTTCTGTGGCACCTGCACTAGAACCAGTCAGGATGGCAAGCTCTTGGGTCATCTTCTTCTGGCCCGTAAGGTTCAGGTAGATCTTTCCCCAGAAGTCGTTCGCCGCGCTACAGACTAAGCATGGGGATTCAGACAGCCAGAACTAGAAAAAACGTACAATTTGGTGGCGCGCTTTGGTGCTTCAAGCATAAGGGGTGGCACCAAGCCTAATCAACGTGAGCATACCATTGCGCTTGAGTGCAATTGAAACCACACCTCTGTAGAGCCTCCCGACTCTGAAATGAGAGCGTCAGCGTATAAAAGCCTAGTCGCGTGACCGGGACGCTGCTCACCCTTCTTCACGGATGATATTCTGAAAGGTTCCTACCAAGCCCGCCTTGGACTTGCCCGTCTCAAGTTGCATACGCGTTTTGACCTAGGAACGCAGCCACTATAGTCGTGAACCATGTCGGGGTTTACAGAATGACGTGACCTACGACATCTTCGGAGGTTTAGCCTTTAAACAGCGAGGCATAAGCGGCTTTCTCACCGAGAGGATAGAAGGTCAAAATCTCAGACACCCCAGCGATGGCACCGGCAGCGAAATTCGCGACGAAGGGCAGAGCTTGAGGGCAAAACATAATGAGTCACTTGGAGCACTAGCCACTACCAGTGCCGTCTAGACGGTGTCCGCACGTTTTCTTTCTGGCACTGCCATTTTGGAGAAAATATCTCGACCGCTGAAGGAGAGAGGAGTGGAGGAGGTTGAGTCAGAGGTCAAGGGAAGAGCCGGTCGAGGACAAGGCCGTATTTACGCCTCGATTGCGCCCGACACTCGAGCGCAAAGCGGGGTTGCGTGCCTCGGCGTTAACGGACGACTTCCGGTCTCTCCAGCCCATGGAAATGTCAAACAGCGAGGGGTATTTTATGTTCAAAAGTGTATGCTAGTCGCACGAATATCGCGTCAGTAAGCGATCCCGTAGACAAGAGTGAGGCGTAGAGCCAAGACCCAGCCGCATTGAAGGCGGCGAATGTCACGGTAGTGACAAAAGTGACCGTGACGTGACTTATCGTGACATACCCCGCAAGCCCGGCGCCAGGACGGAGACCTGCCTGCCATGGTCTACATCTCGTCCTGGCAGGAGTTCCAAGAGGCGGCGGAGGGGTTATATGAGAAGTCACCAAATAAAGTGCGTATAATGTTGTGCTTTGCCATCTATACCCTGAACCACATTAGTAGACTCGTTACTGCGTCAAATGGAAAGCGTCCGAGGGTAAGCTCGTCCTGAAGATCACAGACGGCACGACAGTGCGTCCCTCCTTTATCCTGGAGTTAGATTCGTCTCTAAATATGTCCACTCATATAGTGTCTCAAATTTAAGACGTACTCGTCAATATTCCTGAACCGTTTCGAGGCCTTGAACCTCTCCCTCATGCAGAAGATGCAAAACCGCAAACCCGCCCAGCATGCTGGGGCCGCTCCTGGGATGGTCCCGGACACGGCTACTCCTGCTGCAGAAGCTTCGACCCCCATTATCCCAGCCGGTGCTGGAGCGCCGGCCGCAGGCGGTGTCAAGAAGAAGAAGTCAAAGAAGAAAAAGTAGGCTAGATGTCTTTGAGGAAGCGATAGCAGCTGGGTGCGTCGTGCTGTAATAGCAGGAAATCCAGGCGATCTTATCCCTTTATGTAGCGTACCACATGTATATCCCACGTTTGAAATGACCACATGGCATTACATCTTGTGGAGGAGCTTTGCGTACTAAAGCCAATGAAGCGTGAAAGACTATTGCAGTGGATATTCTGACAGACTATATCAAGTTCGTCGAAGTGTTTGTCTCCCAAGGGACTACCGAAAATGATTTTTGTAGGTATTATGGCTCAGTACAGAAGTCAGTATGCTAAGGATGCCCGGGAACGAAGTGCGGTCGCCATCATATCCAGGGATTCGATGCTGATCTTTCGACTCCTGAGATATCGTGCTCTGAAGAAACTCCTCACCCCTCAGCTCTCCGAAGACTTGACTGCCTTGCCTCCAGACTCCAATTCCAAGTTCGTACCCGACCTTGCTCGTACCGCATGGGCCTGCAACAATTCCCGCAAGTATGCCTTCTTTCCACCGTCACTTTGTTTTCGGAGCAGCCACTGCACGCGCTGTGCCTTATCGAGCGTAATTCTCTCGCCGTCTAGAGTGAATGGGGCGAACGAAGAGTGAATACCCGCAGCCGTGAGCTCGCGACGGACCGAGCGCGTTCGCCCGCGAGCCATGATGTGAACCTTTCGGAGCCGGCCAAAAAGGTGCGGGAATATGCTCCCCATTCGCAGGAGCTCGATGACGTCCCTGACGAGGTCCATATCGAGGCAGATGATGGTCAGGAGTGGCACATTCGTTCCGTTGAGGTCCAGTAGTGCCGTCTCGAAGTCATCGAAGCACGAGGGCATGTCTGCGGTGCTTATGGCGGGGCACGTGAGCCTGAGATATCTGATGTCCGGGTGCGCAGGGCGGTGGCGATGCGTGTACACAGTTAGTTCAGCGACAACCTCGGTCTGGTTGTGCAGGGAGTATTCGTAGCCCTCTTCTACTCATCATCAGCTTTCATCTGATGAAGCGGGCAGGAGACTTTACCGTCGCCTGAATAGCCTCGAGACCTGACACTCATGTGCTTAATTTGATCTTGGTGTCGAGTTAACGAAAGCAGTAGAGGTATGTGCTTGTCCACCAATGCCCAAGCGACATCATTAAGCATCATGTAGCCTTGGCGGGCGAAAAGAAAATTAGATATCCTGAACCAGCGCGTAAGATCGTCCGTGTCCTGGAAGCAGTGGGAGATGGACAGGTAGAATTCGGGGCTAAAATGCCGGGGTCGCCGAAATCTGAACACTTCGACTTCCTGTTTGCTGAAGGTTATGTTTTCCAACGTGAGCTCGCCGACGCGCAAATGTGCAACGCAATCCACCAATGCGCGAATGGACGGCACTCGCATGCCAGAGAGCGTGAGGGCGTTGAGAAACCCAAACGACATGGGGAGGGTCTTGGGAAGCCAGGAGAACGGCAGTAATGATATATGTTTTGCCTCAGGCTGAGGCAGATCGGCTTCCGGGATGCCCTCCATGACCAACGTTATATTGATAAAAGCAAACCGTCCCTTCAGTCTGAGCATCTGGTGGACCCATGGGATGCTCTGTGGCGTCCGGTCCCCGACGATGTTGAGTATGTGGATGCAATTCTGGAGGGAGTGGCCCAGAAAATCTGGCTGGCTCAGAAACTCAATCAGCTGTGAGATATCGTCTGCGCTCTTGAGATTCAATTCAAAGAAGAGGATAGGTCTGATGACCTTCGCCCAGTGACGGCAGATTAGGCTGCAAGAAGTAAGGCCGTGCTTGAGCAGCGCGTCTTCTGCGTCCCGATCCTTGACCCGCACTAAGATGGCATGCACCACCTCTCCGGGCAGGTAAATGGGCGACCTATCTGACATCAGTGAAATAAAGGGAGCAGCGCACCGTTGTGCTTTTATGAGGTTAAAGAAGAGACGATAAATCGACGGAAAACGAGAATAGTTTCGTCGCTAATTTCTGAGCACACATGCCCCGCGAGACGCGCGTGGGGCTAAGCTTAATAACAAGAGGCAGCTACAAGTAGATTTAAGAAAAAGCATAGTACTCTTAAACTTGGCCACTAGGGAAGTGAAAACAAAAGAAACATTGGCAGAGTACTCGGAGATCGACGCGCAATTCGCCGAAATTGTCCAAAGGCGGACCAAAGCAGAGACAGCGTCTACCACTGGTTATTCAGGAACACGAACCAGCTCATGCACCACCGCCTGCCTTTCATCGCACTCGTCCTGTGACGTCGACCACCTCCACCTCTCGTTCGATAACCCAATCCAGCCATCCGTGTGCCTCCCTGTCCGTGTCCTTTTCAACGACGCATCGGGAGGGTCCCAGCTCTAGAAACCGCACTTAGTCGGAATTGTTACCTGATTCTTCGTCAATCCGCTCCTATTCAGCCTCATGAGATGGTTCTGCCGGCTGTGCGTTGCTTCTCAGAATTCGTGTTTGTTGCTGCCCTAGTCGTGTGTGCAGCGTCCCACAGCTCCCGCAGGTAGCCGTCCCTCTGACTGTCCCAGAGGAGCAGCACCCATTCCGCGCGCTGAGCAGCGGTGAGCGAGATAGTCTCATCGCCCACGCTGACACATGTCGGCGCGGAGAGGATTTCCTCGGCAGCAAAGGCACCAGTCTCGGGGGCGTCAACGGAGACTTTTCTCGGGTGCGTCGCACAAAGCTGCGATAAGACGCACCCTTCCAGGATGCCGTGTATCAGGACCCTGACGATGTTCGTGGTCTCGCACTTAATCCATAGTCTAGGGATGTCGGGGCCGTTGATGTCGGTGAACGCGGCCTCTAGCTGCGAGAGCAGTTCGGAAGGCATGCCCACGCCGCCCGCATCTGAGCATGCGAACATGACATGCTCGATATACGGACGAACGCCGTCACCGGCCCTTTTTTCAATGCGTGCTTCGGCGAACTCGTCCTCTGTCCCAGCCCTGTATAGGGAGTATACGTAGCACTATTGGCGTCGTTAGTACACTCCACGACTCAGCTGCATAAAGGGGATTAAAACCCACGCTTTCGCCGTCTGGGAACTCGGAATTATAGCTAACCTCTAACTTTGAGATGTCATCCTCGCATTGATGAAGCGACGCAAAAAGACGGAAGTGCTTCGCCAACGATGCCTCGGTGTCGTCGTCTAATCGTGGGCAAAACTGATCGGCGAGGAGGGTGTTGCAAAATGTGATCCAGAACGGAAGGCTCGATGATTTCCCGATGCAATTTAGAACGGAAAGACTACGGCTGTCTTGCGAGATTCGCGAAGATCGTGGACGGCGACGCGGCAGGTGCCCGGGGTTCTCCTCCGGAAAACCAACGTTGTCAAGCGTGAGTTCCCGGAACGAGAGGCGTTTGATGAAATTCGTCAGACTACGAACAGATGGGACTTGTAAATTGGACAAGGTGACTCGGTGCAGAAGTACCGTAGACGTAGGCAGCGCCCTGGGAAGCAGGGCGGACGGAAGCAACGATAGCCTCTGCGTCTGCTGAAGCTGGTCGTCCGCTGAAGCGCCCCTTATGGTCCAAGTAACGTCGACGGAAAGAGTCTGGCGAAACCACCACAGAAAACATCGGTGGCCCCATGGAATGCTGGAAGATGTCCGATCTTCGACAAGGTCCAGACAGCGAATGCAGCTTTGGAGGGTGCGGCCTAAGAAGTCAGGAACGCCGAGCAAGGCCAGCAATTGCGACACGTCTTCTGCGCTCCTGATAGTGAGGTATTCGAAGAGGATGGGCCTAATGAGCTTGGCCCAATGGCGGCAGGTCAGGCTGCATGGGGCGAGGCCGCGCTTGGGTGGTCTTTCCCAGCTAAATCTGTGGTCGTCAAGTCGTATCAGGATAGCATGGAGGAGCTCGTCGGGTAGACATGATCCTAATACATCGGACATCAGCACTAATTGGAAGAGAAAGAACACGCTGAGGGGACGGCAGGTCTTCCGAAGAGAGAGTGCAGAGAAAAGTCGAAGAGTCGGTGTACATACCAGGGTGGCTATCAGGGCATTGCATATCGATGGCGCCAATTAGCTCCGGACGGTAGACATAGCTTCGCGAACAGCTTTCGGGGGGACATGCACAGCAGTGCGAACGCAAGGGTGAACTTGGACTTCGTCAAAGTAGCTTTGGGACGAATCGTCGTTTTTAAAGCAGCGCCTAGCAGCTATGATATTCTTGAGTCAAGTCAACCACGCGTTTCGGCAAGCGCAAGGTGCGCTGTTGGAAGAGGACAGGCCCAGCCGTTTGAATCAGACAAGTTATGCCCTGAACACTTGGCTCAGGAGAGACAAATCGTATGATTGCATGACAATACATTGGGTGTGCTTAGACAAGGAAGCAGTGAAGCCCATAACTATCCGTCGTGATGTCGGGGAAGCTGGCAGCTGAAGGCATCGCTCACCAATTACGCACCAAGTGCAGGTGAAAAAATATCCGCGGCTTGGAATTCGCAAGTTGAATGCAAGCGACCCGCTCGGGAAAGGAGGCTTCGCCGTCCAGTGTGATAACAGCCATGGATGTTAAGAAAGACATGACAAGCCTGCAAGAGACGAACAGCACAGTTAGAGCAGTGTATGGGGCACGCTATAAAGAGTAGGCGTAGTTGGCAGGGCACAACAGAGTTGAGCCGAAAGCGTAGGATGTGCGAACAATGTTGGCCCGTTCTCCTTGAAGCGATCGTGGAAAGTATTGAGCCCGAAGACAGACGCACCATTACCAGATTAATCAGCTAGCCTAAGTCTGCCGCGAAAAGTTTTGGTTATCTTCCGTCCAGTTACGGGGCCCATGGGTAGCTGTTCCAGGGGCTCTTCCCTCGCCATTAGCTGTATTGCTCGCCATAGCCACGGCAGAAACGGTGTTCTGCGTTCTGGCACTAGTGATGGGGGGGGGGGAGGCTTGGAAGGGGGATGGGAGTAGAAATATGTACAGTAGTCAGAGCAGCATAGACAGTGTTCACATCGCAACAAGGCGAAAACCGTGCTTAATGTTACTTAGCACCCGTGATCACAGTATGGAATAATCACGTACGATTTCACGTCCCGGTCGCATAAACATATCAGCGGACCCGCACCATCCCGCCGCTTCAGTCACCCCCTTCATGTCCTAACACCGTGTGCCATGCACGTCTTGCCAATCTCTCCGAGTTGCATTGCCGAGAGAGCCGATAGTATAAATCGCGTTGCGGTTATTACATCCCCAACAGAGACTCTCCTTGTTGAAAATCGACGTTGAAAGTAACGTTGAAATGTCAGAGACTGCTGGTAGCGCGGCCTGATGTCACGATGGAAGAAGGCAGAAGAGAGAAGAGAGAAGAAACTGACCAAAAATCAGCGCTAGTCAGCCCCTGCATCTCCCGCGCCTTGTAGTAGCACGCGGATAATGTTGCTGATTCCCACAAGTGCTTTCTTTGTCGCGCCTTATTACATCCTTGTGAAGGCTTATTGAACATTTGAGTCCCAGCCATGCCTTGATGCTTCTCCAGCGAGAATGTCACAGTACGTGTACTTATGTCGTTGGGAACTTGCAAGAATTAGTTTCTTGCGTATATCAGCGAGTAACTAACCAGCTCGTTCCGTATGAAGCGAAGACGTAGATTATAGGAGGCTTGTCGACAACTTGAAGCCAGATTCTCAACGGAGATGTCTGACCAAGGCGAGTCGCAGCCTCACCTCGAGCACGATGGGGCGGCAAATGTGAGTTCCTCGCTGTCGTCCGGTCTCTATCACAAAGGAAAGTCTCCGTTGGTTCCTCGGGGGGCGAGCATTTCCCCATATTCTGGTGAAGGTTCTGACTGCGCGAGCCGCCGCGGGCTCTCTGGACCGTCGTCAGCAGGGACGCTCACGTTTCCACTTAACATCTCGCGTTATATCTGCGAGGTATCTTTGGTCCTCTCGCTTTCTGGTCATACCTCCTCGCTTGCAATTTTACGGCTGGTGAGTCTGCGAAAGCCATTTTCTGAGTTCGAATGCTTATTGCAGAGTAGATGCAGATTCGCTGCATTTGCGAAAGTTGATACGTACATGACGTAACTGCATCAGGTGCTACAAGAAACCCTTCCGGGGAAGAGAAAATTGTCTGGACTGGGGGTCGCGTATACTGGACCACGGTCTCAAAACATTTGTACGACAATCTTCCCGCCACCACCTATTCCCCATCATCCTTGCCTTGCGACCGCATCTACCCCTCCTCCCGATACCCTGTCCAACAGGCCGTGCACATTTGTGTTCCTTTCGTCAACGATGCAGATAGACTCTCTCTACCCCTGATATTCCTAGCAGGGGTCGCCGCTCGACACGTCTTCGCCTCCCCACTCGTCCTGGTCCTCTGTGATCTGCTGGATCTGCTCTCCCATGCCGTCCTCGGCATCATTCACAGCGCATGGCACTGCTCCAGAGCCCGCAGCCGCCAACACTCTAGCTGCCCGAGCAGCACGTACCAGCTTCGACAAGTATTTACGCCTCTCGAAGACGTCCTTGCGTAGCACCCATTGTGTGCGCTGAGCGGCGGTAAGCGAAATGGTCCCGTCGTTCTGGCTGATGCATGTCGGTGCGGACAGAATATCTTCGATAGTAAGGCTGCGACGAGGCCTGGCGATATCTACGATGACCTGTCTTGGGCGCGTGCGAAGCTGCGCCGAGACACGTCCTTCCAGTATGCCGTGGATTAGGGCCCTGCCGGTCTCTACGTTCTCGCACTCGATGCATAGTTCGGGAGCGTCGGGGTCGTTCACGTCGATGAGTCCGGCCTCTAGTTGCTCGAGTAGCGAAGGCATGTCGATGTCACCGACGTTGGGACATCTGAATTTGACCTCGTCGATATATTGACGGGCATTGTTTCCGGTCCGTTTTGAAACATAGACGTAGGCGAACTCGTCCTCTGTTCCAAACTTGTGAAGGAAGTATTCGTAGTCCTATTTTCAGCATTATTACTACCATTCCTAAGCCACATAAAGAGTACCAGTACTCACATAAATGCCATTCCCGCAATGAACATAGATGGCCCTCAGCCTTGAGATATTATCTTCGCATTGATGAAGCGACGCAAAGAGATGGAAATATCTCGCGACCAACTGCTCACTGTCGTCGTCTAATGGCGGGCAGCGCTGGCTGGCGAAGAGAGCGTTGGAAAGGTTGACCCAAAACGGAAGGCTCGAGGACCTTCTGATGCAGTTTTGAATGAGAAGATAATGGTCGTTCTGCCCGTTCCGAAGAGAGGAGTGTGTGCGCGGGATATGTCGAGGGCTAGGGATCTCCTCCGTGAAAGTGATGTCGTCAAGCTTGAGCCACCCGATTTGGAGGGACTTCGTCAAATTTACAAGGCTGCGAATGGATAGTACTTGTAGCCCGGACAGGACGACACGGGCCAAATAAACTGTGGACGTGGGTAATGCCCTGGGAAGCAGAGCGGAAGGAAGCAATGACAGCTTCTGTGGCGGCTGAACCTGGTCATCTATTGGGGCGCCGGTTATGGCCCAAGTAACCCAGCCAGGAAGAGCCTGACGACACCACATCAGAAAGAAATGGTGGCCCCATGGGGTGCTAGTGGGTGTCCGGTCTTCAACGAGATCCACTTCCTCAACGCAGCCTCTGAGGGGACAGTCCAGGAAGTCGCGAGCATTAAGAAACGCGAACAGTTGGGAGACGTCCTCCGCACTACTGAGAGTGAGATGCTCGAAGAGCATGGGCCTGATGATCCTAGCCCAGTGGCGGCATACCAAGCTGCAAGAGGCAAGGCCTCGCTTTGGGGGTCTTTCATCTAGGTATTCGCGGTCGTCAAGTCGTACCAGGACATTGTGGAGGAGCTCCTCAGGCAAGCGTGCTCCTAATGCGTAGGATATCAGCACCATTTTAGACGTACAGAACACGCCGCTACGAGTTCTTCGATGAGAGTGTTAAAGGAAGCAGAGGCGAATCAGAGGAAAAACGCACAGGAAGTGGTACGGGTTAAGCACGTGTCAAAGAACCCGCTACGTCCCGAACATTGCCTCAGCGAGCTTTGCCGGTGCGTGTGCATGACAGCATCTCGCCATCGTGGCAGCACGCTCTCAAATTGCCGCAAGCTCCAGCTAAGTGATCTTCACAAGGGTCTCCGCCGCGTTTCCAGCATGACGTCCGACAGACGTGGTGCAGAATCAGGTCGCCAGTGCAGGGAGTTGTGCGCATAAGCATATACAGGCAGATCGGAAGAACGAACCAGAACTCGTGCTCTATTGAGATCTAGTTTCGGTCTACAGACGGCTCATGATGTGTATCAACATGGAGTCGTCGCGTAATGCAGTGGACAGGTACATCTAGTACGTACGGACAAGATTAAAGAAAGCTGGTGAAACCAAAACTCGAGAGTATCTGTCGCAACTTCGAAGAATTCTGAGATAAAGGCAGTGGCTGTTGGTCCCACATCGGGTGTGGATCGATAGGGATGTTCGCGGTAATGCGGGAGCAAACCCACCGTGTATAGAAAGCCCTGCCCAGTGCAGTGCAGCCATGGACTCTGGAATCCGAAGCGAGCTAGGTTGGTGAAGGGACGAAGGGCGCAGTGAGGGCGGCGCGCAAGGACGGCAGACACAGCTCGCATTCGGCAGTAACGGGAGAGAGCTGTGTCAAGAGCACAGGACGCGTACTTGATGGCAAGCCATTCAGTCAGAGGCACTGATGGTACACTCCTTCCCTCCGCCGCGGTGGCGAATGTTGGAGTAAGCAAGAGCATATGCGACTCGTGCGTTAGAGCAGTCTGCCAGCCTAAGCCTTCGACAAGAGCAGCACCCGCACGTAGAAGACTATCTTCAGGTCAATATCAATGGTAAGCCAGAACAGGAGATCTTAGCGAGTTTCCCTTACTGTTAGCTATTCCGCTCGCCATGATTACGACGGGTACGCTCTTTTCTATCCCAGCATCTGTAACGATCAGAGGACTCCTGTCGAGTCCAAGGGCGAAGGTTGCTGCGCACGAAATACCAGTTGTTGGACCTGCTCCAGGGCACCGCCGTCGAAGTTGGCTCGAGCGTCGAAGCGGATCAGATGCGCCCCCACGTGACTCCCGACATGAGCTCGAGGGGCACGGCCGAAGACGTGCTTGCTGCGTATCTCTACTCCAGCTTTCTATTGCTTTGTTATGCCAGCGGCTCAGTGAACATCTGAGTTTTTCCACTTCCCAGAAGGAAATACCATCGTGTACGAGAGACACCGAGTTTGCAAGGTTCGCTCACAACTTTTCAACACCGGCGACGTCTCACTGTAACTAGTCTCCGTTGCAGAGACTCAACCAGCAAAGCGAGAATTGTGTCTAACTGCAACCGCATGCCTTCTCAGGCTCGTCTTCGGCTATTCGATTATCCAAGGCTGTCTGAGAGCCTTCCTCGTCTCTCATCTCGGGCGACATGCGTATCGACTTGCAAGGCGATACCCTCTTTCATCTAAACGACCCTCGCGTCGTACATCCTTGCGTCCCGCGTTCACCTGGAACTCAAAGACAGCAGATAATGCATAGTTCTCTGTTGATATGTGGAGTATTTTATGTGCGTTTGTTGGCCTTCTGGATGGCGAAGAGGCAACGAAGAGGGCATGTTTGTGGGTACGTCACTAAGCTAGTATCAGCCGCTATTAGTCTGAGAACATGTTCCTCATCGTTGAAAGTGTAGATGCCCCGTGGTTGCGTTCGATAACATAAGCCTGGGGACGGATCTGTTGACCGCGATGGAAATCGATGACCAGATGGCTGAGTGGGCCCACAAAGGGCCTAGGGAGTCAAGTGGCCTAGAGAGAGATGGAGGGTGCGAGGAGGAGATTGCAGGCTGGGGTGAGTGTGGATGTCAAGCGCGAGGGGATGGAAATATGGCTGTGCTGCTGAGATTATAATGTCAGGTGCGCAAACGCGCCCACTGTGACTGAAAACGAGCTGATTCACTCACCCATAGCAGCTTGCCTATACAGCGCAAAGGCATAAGTGGTGGGTAAATCCGACACCCGGTGAAGGCATCTGACCAAGCGAGTCGCGACACTGCCCTCGAGTGCAGCGCGAAGCCTCGCAATTTGTTCATCGCGAGGCAGCTTCGGTCGCGGACGAAGATCTCCCGCCAGCGGGATATCGCTTTGGAGTAATCGCGGGTATCATCAACTCGGGTTTCAAACACTTATGTTCACGCTTTCTAGCCACTCGCCAAGCTGTTGGCATCTACGACGGGGTCGATCGACGTATCGCGCCGCGTCTGCGAAACAGCCTTTGTTATCTCGCTTAGCCGAAGATTTGAGATCCCTTGCGCGTTATCCCACAGATGACTTCTCGTGTACGAGGTACCGACGGCTGAATACGTGCAGATTAGTTGCAGCTGAGAATCCAAGGGCAAGCAATTGTCAGTCGAATACATCGTGATCACAAAATGAGTACACGGGCATGTTGTCTAGCGAGTTCGTAGCTACCGAAAATCCTCCAAGGTCGAGCAACAGGAACGTATGAGCCCAAGGGAACCGAGCCGAGTATGGTAATCAAGAGAGTAGGAAATCGAGATACACACGACGTTGCAGGTATGAGGAAACTACGAACGACTTGCTATGATAGAAGAAAAGCATCCTCGCCAGCAAACTTAGACGCGTGACGGCCCAAGAATACGCTTTTTTCGATTCACTATCACTTGTCCCTCGCTCCATCCGCCCTATGAACGGCTCTTCATTCCCTTTCAGCAATGCAAACGACCTGGCTCGAACGTACACGCCCATCCATGGCGACGATGCATCCTGGGTTGCCCTTCCTCCGGCATTGCGCCTCCTGGCCCGGATCGCTAGTCAATTGTTTATCGTCTCACCACTCTGCGACCTCTTGCTCCTTATGCTCATCCTCCACGACCTCGTGCGTCTGTCCTGCCGCTCCGTCCACAGCGCACGAGTCCATCTCAGAGCGCGTTGCTCTGGCCTCGAGGGCGGCGTGCAGCAGCCCCTGCAGGTAGGCGGTCCTCTTCTCGGAGTACCCGCGCAGCACCCATTCTGCGCGCTGAGCGATGCTGAGCGGGATGGCCTCATCGTCCCAGCTGACGGATGTCGGTGCGGAGAGGATGTCTTCGACGACAAAGTCTCCGAAAGGCTCGTGGGTCCTCAAGTAGACCCTTGTTGGACGCATGCTATGTTGCACTAGGATGCGTTCTTCCAGTACGCTGTATATCAGAGCCCTGCCTGGGCCGCTGGCGTTGCAGCTGATTTTCGGCATGGGAACGTCGGGGCTGTTCATGTCGACGAGCTCGGCCTCTAGTTGCGCGAGTAGCGAAGTCATGATGGTGTCAGCAACGCCTGGACAGGCGAAGGCGGCATAGCAGATGTATGAACGGGCGTCGCTGTCGGTGTTTTCCGTATATATGTCTGGACATCAGCGCATCAGCACTCACATATTCGCCACGTGACGGATTGCGACAGTCGACTCTTAGCCTTAAAATGCTACCTTCGCGTTAGTGGAGTGACGCAAAAAGGTGAAGATGCTTTGCTACCAGTTGTTCGCTGTTGTTGTCTAATGGCGGGTAACGCTGGCTGGCACCAAGAGCATTGGATACTTTGACCCAGAACAGCAGGCTCGACAAATCCCTGATGCAGTTCAGGAATCAGAAAAGAATGGTAACAATGGTGCCTCAGCGGGTTGCGAGGATAGGAGCGTTCTTGTGGGAGATATCGAAGGTTAGGGCTCCCCTCTGGGAAGACGACGTTGTCAAGCTTAAGCGACAGGATTTGCAGGAGTTTGACAAAGCTTAACAGACTGCGAACAGATGACACTGGGAGGCCAGAAAGAATGACGCTGCCCAAACACATTGTAGACATAGGTAATGCCTTGGGAAGCGGACTGGACGGAAGCGACAACATCCTCGATGTCGGCTGAACCTGGTCATTTGATGGGGAGCCCGTTATGATCCAAGTGACAAGATTGTCAAGGGGAAACTGTTGATATATCCCCAGAAAGAAATGGTGGCTCCATGGAGTACCGGAAGACACCTGGTTTTCGGTAAGATGCATATCGATAGTGCAGTCTCCGAGGGGACGGCCTAGGAAGTCATGGTCGCCGAGGAACGCGAGCAGTTGGGATACGTCCTCCGCGCTGCTGAGAGTGAGATAACTGAAGAGTGTGGGCCTGATGACTTTGGCCCAGTAACGGCAAGTCAAGCTGCAAGAAGCGAGGCCTTGCTTCTGTGGCACTCGCCATTCAAGTTCGTTGCAGTCATCAAGTCGTACTAGGACGGCGTGGACGAGCTCTTCAGGCAGACGTGCTCCTACCGTGTCGAACATTAGCACTTGTTCAGATGTGGGGTACACACCAGTACGAGGTCTCCGAAGAGGGGAGATGAGGGATGGAAGACACGGAGACGAGCCAGGAGCGACATACTCAGAAAGCAGGACTCGGGCGCTGCTCATATCAATGGACTCGCTACTTCCCGGACGCCGCCTTTTCAAAGAACATCACTGCCTGATCACCGCATGCAGGCACATCTTGCGACCACGCGCCTCAGTATTCATCGAGCACGTTCCGTGAACAGACTGGCTGCCGGATTTGAAACATTCTTGGACTCGAGTTATCCTGATCGTGTGCGTGAGAGCTGTTCACCCTTCGAAGCCTAATATTTCCACCACTCGCCAGAATTTGCTGTTGCTATACCCGGTTTTTAATGCTACGAGCTATGTACTTGGTACACGCGAGGCAATTGGATGTGCGCTGCCGTTAGCTACCATAATACATACCTCCGTATTACGAAGAACTGGTTGTATAGAACGAAGCTTAACAGCCCCGCATATATCGAGCGCCGACCCGTACGTTGAATCCTCCTCCACAGCGGTCACTGGCGGCCAGCCTAGGCCTTCGGCGAGAGCAGCACCCATGTATTGAGGGTTATCTGAGTCTTCAGGTCGATGGCAAGGTGACGATATAGTGACAGATGGCTTGAGTATGGCGCGAGCATCGCCTTTTGTATGGCTTTTGGGTATTTAAGGATATCAATGAGGCTCTCTCTGTCCGTTCAAGCATTAATCGTGACCAGATCACAAGTTTATGGCATATTTCGGCATCGACAATGCGTCCTAAGTACCAGTACACCTCCGACTTGAAAGCTACTAATTGTTAAGGCGTGCACTAGTGCCATTGTTATTCCAAAATAGCCAGCATGGTTGCAATAACTTCGTCAAGGAACGCCTGTAGGAACTCCGCATCATATATATCCATGGACTAGTATTATTGTTAGTACCCTTTCCGAGTAATGTCAAAGCGAAAACTCACTTGAATCTGCCACTGGAATACATTTCGGAACGTCCATGCATGCAGGACTCTATGAGTTACGTCAGTCCGTTGTAGAACATACATACCTTTTCCTTATACTCACGGGGATGGACTCGCGGTGATGCGAAGTCCAAGCTTCATCTCACGGAGCTCTAGGTGCGGCTCGCCGCCCTTTCCGCCCCACATGGGCGGAACGAAGGAATCGACGGCGCCGATGTTGGTGAAGACGGGGCGGTGGGAGTCTACTTTCCCCGGATATGGCATAATACCAGCCACAATATTGATGAAGGGCAGAGTCGGTTGCTCGAGATAGGCGTCATATTCTTTGCGCAGGATAGACATGGTCTCAATGAGTTGATCGCGGAGGGGCCTTTCTCTGTTGATGCTGCATGTAGAGACGGCGAGAGGCACACATATTAAACTTGACGCGAAGTGCTGTTCAGTTGGATAGTCGACCGGGAAGTATCTCTGAAGTGAGATTCTGGTAAGGTATTAGCGTCGAATATTTCTGGAAGTGCGACGTGCAGACGTACACGGTAATTTCGTGAATATATTGCAAGTCAACGCCGAGGTGAGCGTTGTACTTAATTGTCGCAAGAGCGATCGCTGCATCGCAGAGTAGGGTCGCGGTAAACCCCTCTTTCTTCAAGGCGGCTAGCAAGCAGGCCGTCGTTTCAGCATCGATACCGGCTCCGACGCGCTCACAGCGAGCGTGCACAGTGGCTTTTTCCCTCTGGGGAGCAACTCCAATTGAGCCCTGCACAGTTCAAGTTTGAGTCTAACAACACTAGGGTATAAACGAAGGAAACGCAAACCCGGCTCTTGTCAAGCTGTTCCGACAGCTGAAATCCGCTCGTCTTCGCCGCCTCTAGTAGATCCGGGCCAACATGCTGAACAATGTCTACAGGGAGGCTAGAGACCTCGGCACCGTATGTGAGCTCATCAAGAGAGGGCTCCTCGTCACGATGAACGATTGCTTGGAACAGGCGTCGGAAGGCGTTCAAGCAGGGACGAGCATCGAGTAGAGCATGGGTCCCATGCATGAATAGAGCGTTTTCGCCGCTCGGACGCAGGACGAGGTGACAACCGAAAATTTGGTCATGTTCCAGGACGTGGTACGGAAGCCGGGTGCCGGTAATGGTGTTGATTATCTGTTGGTCTGTCGCGGTAGTCTCGTGTACGGTGAGGGTTGCCTTGGCCCACGCGAGGGCATCTTCCTTGCTTTTCATTGGCTTATATACCCAGAACAGTTTGTCCGGAAACTCCGGGCGGGGCTGCACATCCGCTGCAATGAGGGGAGTGAAAAATCTGTAGGGCGATTGTGAGCGTAGCCTACCCGGGCCGGGCCGATAATCCCGCCATGACGTACCTCAAGCGAACCAAAGCCTCTGTGACAGCTCCAGGGAGGTCGGCGATATTTGTGGCGAGTGTGAAACCGAGGCAGCAATCCCATTCTCTATACAGGGGTTAGCATCTACTATGGTTACGTAAACGCTGTACAACGTACCCGTCAAGTGCGCGAGCGACCCAGGCCATGTCGGACTCGGAGCCAACCATCGGCCTAGCGGCATATCTAGCTCAATCTCTGCCAAAAAAACTGGGATGCATTCACGGACACTTTACCTGACATAGAGCGCCTCATTAGTTGCAGTCCACCCGGCAGGAACGCGAGGTGTAGGAGTAAGCATAGCGATTGAAACGTTGGGGTTGGCTGAGATCTAGTGAGTCGTTGTTACCGGGGATGGCACGAGAAGATATACTACCGAGGCCTACCAGAGTTCTCGCAGACGGTGACGAAGAGTGCGGAAGATCATACAAAATTTGCGCCTCTTATCCAAATCCTGTGGGCTGTATATCGAGCAAGTCATATCGCTACCGCCAGAGAAAACTCGCCAAGGAACTGGATCTACTGCGTGTAATTGCAGCGTCTCGTTGTGACGTAATGTTAAGTTAAGGTTTTTCCGCTGTGCACACATGACAGAATTCAGCGTTAGTGCATAGCGGCCCCCGCGACACCGGGATCATGTCCTCCGTCTCCGGGGCGCTCGGCGTTCGGTGTTTCGACGGTGGGATTGTGGGGAGAATATGAAGAGATAGCAGTACCAACAAAAGCAGTATTTAGGAAAATCTAGCTATCTAAGGCTACATTACCGCTCATCTATCGGAAATGCCACAGCAGTAGCAGTATGGATATCAGAAGATATTGTACGAGAGTCCTTGGGTATGACGCTCTCTCCGTCGCACTTAGTGGACTGCCGCTAGTGACCAGTATACGAAGCAATCGCTTGTTTGTTTTGCCTGTGCTATGTACATAAGATGAGCCACAGATGCGAATATTCAATCTGAGTTGACTCAGACGTGCCCTATCATCGGAAAACAATCCGTGGGGACGATGTGATGAAACGGAATAGCACGGAGGGCACTCCTGAAAAAACACTTTGAGCTCTTCAATGGGCACGGAGGAGAGACTGATAGAGCCCCAAAGCTCTGTCCCGATCGGAAAAGAGACAGCTTTGACGACGCTCGGGTGGGCTTCCATCACTGCCGTCACACCATCGAGCTCAACCCGAACTCCCTATATCAGCAGCAAACATATACAATGAGAAAACAGGGCGCGATTCGTCTGAGTATTGAGAAGCGCACCTTGACCTTTGGTCGTCCAGCCGACCAAAATGCTTGAGCTCACCATGTTGATTCCAACGCCCGAGATTACCGGTGTTAAACATGAGCCTGGTGCGCATATTTCAGAGCACTATACAAGAATGAACGGAAAATGCACACCCGCCGTCGGAGAACGGATCGCGGCGATACTGCTGCCGCCCCGGCGGCCGGTTTAGCTCTGGCTTATTTAAGTAGCCCAATGACACGCAGGCGCCTGCCGCCCACATCGTGCCAACGCAGCCCAACGGTAGTGGCCGAAACTCTTCGTCAAGGGTGTAGACACGAGTGTTGGGAACTGGGGTGCCTATGGAGAGAGATGTCCCGCGCTTGACGCAATGCGTCATACTGACAATTGCAGTCTGCGTCATGTCGCCTGCGTACGGGAATAGGAACTCCTTTGATTGCTTCGACGCGCGTGCCTCCGTAGGTCCACAACAGTTGAAGAATGTCTTCCTCACAGACCATTCATCTGCGAGTGCTCGCGGGCACGGTTCTCCTGCGGTTGCGACAATACGGATGGCTGGATGGTCTACGGCGCGGTAGCACTGAAAGATTGTAGGCGTTGCGATCACGACGTGCACGGGTCGAAGCGCGGTCTCCCAATCCGGCTTGCTCGGGCCCCGCACGATAAGCGTCCCACCGTTGAGCAGGCAGCCTATTATCTCCCAAGCACACATGTCGAACGCTACGCTGACTCCTGAACAGCTGCGATACCTTGGTTCCAGGGCAGATGCTGAGGTTACCAGAGTCGGTGCACAGCACTGTGGACGACCTAGGGCGGATGGTAAGCGGACGCAATGTAGCACACTATGGTACGCACGATTTGTCACATTCCCATGAGATATGCTCACGCCCTTGGGCATGCGAGTGGTGTCTACGGCTACGTTCAACAAGGGACATATGCGCTAAGTACGACAACAGACACGAAGTACAGATCACGTAGGCCTCGTCGGAATAGGAACCCTCCTCGAGGAATGGGTCGACTCGCACTCCTATACCGTGCGATAGCTAGTCACGGTGGCGAGCATAAAATCCTCTAGGCGCGAAATTTCCGCTCCTTCGGGAACACGATGGAAGAACGCGGGCATGCAGAAGACAAGAGCTGCGCTAGAGTCTTTCAATACATAGCCGAGTGTTTGGTCAGTGATGGCCCCGCCATCTATTGGGACGTACGATGCGCCCGACTTGAGGATGCCAAAAATCCCGACGAGCATCTCCAGCGAGCGCCGAATGAGAACACAGACTCTCGAACCTCTCGTTACGCCGTTCTTGCATAAGTCGCATGCCATCACATCGGAAGTCTCGCCAAGCTGCCGGTAGGTTAGAGCGGCCCCGAGGTGGCTGGCGGCAATGGTGTCGGTGATTGTTCGTGCGCGTCGAGAGAATATCTCATGAATAATGAGGGGCCTCAATTTCGCGCGCGTTCCGGCACTATAGAGAGCAAAGCCGCTGTGGTCCTAAACCTACAGGGAGGGGACGCTAGTGCGAGTAAGTATATGGGAAGAAATGATGTCAATGGCGCGCAGGGAACTCGGGAGACATAGTAGACGTACTAATGCGGATGGACCGGCGGGTTGCCGAGTGCGCTTGCACAAAATCAGAAGCCTGAGAGTGGTTACAGTGACTTCTTCCATATGATATCGCGGGTGCAACAGACGGCGAACCCGGGCGAACGGTGCATAGCACGGACTTAAGGTTGCGAGCAGCGTCTCAAGTAGTGCTTGCGCAAGATCGTGTCTGTCATGAAAAAGACGGAAAATCAGCAGCCACTGCTAGCTGCCAGAAGACATACCTCCGTATTACGAAGAGCTGGTCGTATAGAACGAAACTTAACAGCCTCGAGGCTGCATATGGCACGCGTCCATCGCCTCAAGTTGGGAGGCAGTTCATCCGTGACCCATGAGATACTCCGTAAGTTTTCCACCCACAAGTGACAAAATTTCGCAGCGGTTGCTGGAGACTAGTCCCCATCCGTCATGCCGCGGCTCCAAAAGGCTCTTCCCCTCCTATACTGCCATATCGCTATGACCAACTCCTAGTCTTCGGCTATTGCGGCGATTCTCAGAGGCCTTCCTCGCTTTTCTGATTGAAGTATGACCAGAATCGGACCAAGTACAGGTATCGTGGGCCTCGAGCCGTGAACGCGTGAACAGCTGGTCGTAGCGGTGCGGCATGCCAGTGATCCTCGCCGCTCGGTGAAAGGCTAAGCGCCGGAGCTCAAACGCGTAACAGTGTGTGACCTTGTTCCGTTGCCGTTCCTAGCCTTGTGGCGTCTCACCTTGCTCTACTAATCGCCACGATGTTGCACCTATCCGTTCCCACTTCTTAGTATTGCAATATCGCACATAGTGCGGTGCTTCACTCGCTTCTTATACTACTTAGGCTTGTGGAGAGTGAACTCACCCACGTGTACTGGGGTCCGTGTTAGATACATCAAAAGATTCTCCACCTGACAAGTCGAACCTTGGCCATAGTTAACGCGCGCCACCTCGCATGCTCGTTCCGGCATTGTTCGCCCCGCTCTGCAAACTCTATGCACGGTGGTATCACTGGCAGGACAGCTACTGACAGACACTCTGCCGCTACGCACCCCCAGATGCTGTGCGTCTCCAGCAAAGCAGCAAGATTTAGAGGTCTTTCTCACGTCGCTAGTGGAAATGCAGATACGACTGCAATTCAGAGTTACCATCGTCCGATGCAGCAGCGATGGTTAGATCGCACCTCTTTCTCTGTCTTAACCACTTGCTAAAGGGCTTGATGGTTCATGCAGCCACCCCTGAGGTGACACCTCCTACAACCCGAACATCTCGCTACACTAACACAACAATCTGTAACCCATCGCTTTTACCTCTCTGTTAGTTTAGGTGTCTGATGCATGTATATAATCCTCTGTGAACCTTATGGAACATCCCCCTGAGTTCTTCCAGAGACATCCTTCCACCTACTGCCACTTGCACACCATGACAGACACATCCAGCTCACCACTCATGGGTCCGACTGGGCTCAACGTCATGTCATTGTACAGGACGCAGCTTCTTGGGTCCGTGTTTTCAACTGTGCTTTGGGGAATATCGTGCACGCAATTGTGAGTGCTGCTTTATTGGCTTTTTCCTGAGTGGGACGTGTTATTAACATTTTCCTAGCTTTCTATACTTTTTGAAGTAAGTTTCACAGGCTACAATCATAGGAAGATGGTGCTTACACACCTATTATAGCTATGAGAGGGATCACTGGGCTCTTAAAGTTTATGTTAGCAGTTTTGTTGAAGTTTCTGTTTTCATATTAACTTTGTCTTCACATCTGTAGGTTGTTACCAATGTCTGGATATGTGAACATCAGAAAAAAGACTTAGGTCCACAATGCTACAGAGTGCTACAGGAGTATTTTGGAGCACTATGGGCCCAAGTCCTGTTTCCTAATGAAGCTGACAAATTCGATATATGCAAGAGTATTGTCACTGGCAATTCTCCGTATACGTATGCTGGTGAACCTGTCCCCTGTCTCAGTTTTGTAGAGAGAGTATTTGTACATCTATTCCAGTATTGTCACTACACATCCATGACTCTCAGTCACCTGAAGAATGTCAGTACTTACGTAGTCACCATTTGAATAACCATGACAATAGACCTGCAGTCTCGAGATACCACCTTCGCATTGATGTAGCGTTGCAAAGAGATGAAGATATGTTGTCACTGACTGCTCAATATCATTGTCTAATGGTGGGCAGCACTGGTGTAAGGTTCGGCTTTGGTAGGTGTTTGACGAGTCAAGTAATCAGTAAGTCAGCGACTACGTTGCAGGACCTCGGGGTGAGAATCTGAGCTTGCAAGAGGTTATCACACTGGAGAAAGAGTGGGGTAAGTCTCAATTTTCCAAGAAACTCCTGTACACCATTGTATCTACGCCTATATATACTAGAAATCCTACTCTAAGTCATAATGAGGGACCAAGACAGATCTGAGGGAAGTCAAAATGAGTCGAAAGGAGTCATGGGGAGTCAAAGGATAAAAGGTATAGGAACAAAGGAGGGAAAATGAAACACGAGACACACAAGGTGTCGAGAGCCCAGGCCGACAAGGTGGGCAGGCGCATTGATGTGCCACCAGGTCTGGCATCCAAAAAGGGAAGTGTTAGCGCTCCAACCCTTACAGCTGGCTGGCACTGAGATTACTGGACAGCCTGATCCAGAACAGATGGCTCGACACCATCTTGATGCAATCTGTAAAGTAGTGAATGCGGAGTTTTGGTGGCTTTGGAAAAAAGGAGTGTGCTTGTGTGACAGGCCGAGGGCCAGGACTCTCCTCTGAGAAGACAACTTGAATGTCATCAAGCTCAAGCCGCTGAACCTGCAGGTGTTTAACAAAGCTTGTCAGACTGCGAACAGATGGTACTTGTAAGCCAAACAGGATGTCACAGAATAGACATTCTCTAGACATGGATAGCGTCCTGGGAAGTAAATTGGACGGGAGTGACGACAGTCTCGGTGCCAGTTGAGCCTGATCATCTACTGCGGCACCTTTGATAGTCCAAATGACGGCGTCAATGAGAGGAAGCTGTGGATGGATTACAAGAAAGAAACGATGGCCCCATGGGATGCTGGAGGATGTCTGGTCTTTGACAAAGTCCAGACCGTGGATGCAGTCTCTGAGGGGCTGGCCTAGGAAGTCATAAGTATGGAGGAAGAGGATGGGTCTGATGACCTTGGTCCAGTGGCGGCATGTCAAGCTGCAAGAGGTAAGACCGCACTTTGGTGGCTGTTTCCATGAGTGTTTACAATCATCAAGCTGTATCAGGATGGCTTGGAGGAGCTCTTCAGGCAGCCGCGCTCCCAGCGTGTCGGACATTAGCACTTGTTCAGAGGTAAAGAATGCACCGCTATGGACTCTGTGACAAAACAGGGTGAGGATGCAGAGACAGGCTAGAGGAGCAGCGCACAAAAGCAGGAGGGGTGATGCTTACTTACACTTGCAAGCACAATACCAGAGAAGCGGCTGGAAACCGACATACACATCGATGGGAGGTACTGTACAGCTCGATCAATTGATCAATCCAGGCAGGTGATCCGCCTGAT